GAGGCGGCCCCGTCTCCACAAGAGTCAACAGGACCCTCTACTCCTGAACAAGATGACGGTATGTACATGTTGTCCTATACCACACAGCAATTTACACTACACTTGGCTAACGCTCACGTGATTTTCTACTCCACACACTCAAAAGCGGAGTGGAACATGATTCTACATGTATTATCAGTGTATTAACTACGTGAGCCCAACAGAAATAAATTGTTCTAAATAGTTGCCACAATTCCCCCACTTTTTTTACCATTTATGATATACAAAAGTTTATGCTTTTGCTAAGATCACAAAACCCACTCAAAAGAAGAAGTCAAGCCTCATGATAGCGTGGTAGTAGTATCCAATAGTAGATGTCGGTTCTCTATATTGCTTAATATTTATATTTACTTTTCTTTCTTTGACACTGTACAATATACACATACAATTAGTATGTTATGGCATGATTTTGCAAAGAAAGCTAGTTGCAAATTATCTTAAAAGCGGCAAAATCTACATGTTTCCAAGAAGTGTTTTGCCCAATCGAGCTTGTCTGGACTAATCTCCAAGCAGATGTTTCTGTGGTTGCAAAATACAGTTACTGTTATCAAATTGACCAGGCAGTATCCCCATTTGCCACCCAATGATTGGAGGTAAGTCTGGACAATGCTTATGAAAACAAATCCTCGACTCCCTCGCCGGATAAAATTCTTCCAACTCTATAAATTGCGACGCCTTCGGGTAGTCATGACTTATTCGGGTTTTGCATGCATCAGTGAGGTAACTGGTGGTTTGATGCAGATTTTTCGGTTGCCGCCAAAACAGTATCAAATTGGCTTGGCAGTATCCATTTGTCAGACAGTATCCATTGGCCAAATCTGCTTGGAGTTTGGTGAATATTTGTTTCCATGCTGCTCCTCTTCGCGTTTTGAGACATTTTATAAAGCCCTTTTGCCCGACTACTTGCTCCCCTGAACTCTGTTATTTGGAAAGGGCAAATGCAGATTTCAGTGACTGATGTTTTGCTTTAAGAGTTTTTTTAATGTCTTTTATGTTACATTTCTTAAGGTCCTACTGTTTCAGATGAAATGAGATTATTTGCAGTGCGTTTTCTCATTATGATTCATGTTATAATCACTCTCCAAATGAGTCTGAGCTGTATGACTAGTAATAGTCAGTACAGGAGTCGTTTTTTTTTTCTTTTTCTGAGTCAATGATGTTTACATACAAGGTACGGCCTGATGGTTATCTTTCACTTGAGGCCAACACCAATATGAAATAATAAAATTCTACTAAACAAAATATTGGTTCAATGAGAGAATCACCTCCATGAAGTATTTAGAGGTTTTGTAAATTTCATGGTTCTATATTGTGTCATTCATTAGATGATGGTCTTCTCTATTTAAATGGTCTTCTCTATTTAAATTTACTTGCGGCACTCTATGGCAGAATTCCCTTGAAACATTTCATTATTACTTATGCAAAGGACCAATACATTCACGCAATTCATGTTACGTATGAAATTCCCATCATTTACCACTGTTCGTATTAGATATGCAAACTAGACCCTGATTTGCATTATCATTATCTGGCTTGCTTATCATACATTACATGTGTTTGTCATATTATGTAAAACAAAGTAATTGGAAATTTTTTTCATTGCTGCTACTCTGCTACTGAAGAAAATGATGACCCTGACAACCATGTGTACCACTATGCTGGTCAAGGGACTAGAGACAAAGGTACACAAATTAATGTACCCTGTCTTGTTAGCAACTTTAAACATTTATCTTGTTTAAAGATCTGGCTTGCTTATCATACATTACATGTGTTTGTCATATTATGTAAAACAAAGTAATTGGAAAATTTTTTCATTGCTGCTACTTTGCTACGGAAGAAAATGATAACCCTGACAACCATGTGTACCACTATGCTGGTCAAGGGACTAGAGACAAAGGTACACAAATTAATGTACCCTGTCTTGTTAGCAACTTTAAACATTTATCTTGTTTAAAGATAATCTGTTCCACTAATAGAAGACTTCTGAACATTCTTGACTTACGAAAGTCTTTGTCATTTCTTCTTTCATTGAAAAATCATGAACATCATGAAATGTGTACTGAATGTATTTTATGTAACACCGTACAAGACTGGAGGTTTTGCCAATTTTGTCCAAATTATATATGGAAGATGAACTTCATTTTATTATAGATTGTTCACGATATGATGATAAATACTCAAAGCTGTTCAACCTTGTAACATTTCATGCTATAGATGAATTTAAGTACATTCTAGAAGGTTATAATCCTTACTGTGTAGAAATAGGAAAAGATAGAAATTTTAGGTCTTGGAAATTTAAGAAGAAGACGCTAAACTCAACATGCTCATGGTCTTGTACATAGGTTAATTCTTTTGTACTCACTTGCCTGTCAGTATGTTTAGTTATAGACATTAAGAATGTCGCATTGCTGTGCCTATAAAGTAATGTATTATTTTACGTAAAATGGTATGATTATACAGCTGAAGAAAAACAACCTACATGTTCCACTGCTACTGACAAAAGTGGTGAAGACAACTATGCTGAAATAAGTGATGAACAGACTGAAGGCAAATATTAATGCACTTTATCATGATTTCAATAGTTTTTTGCATGTCGTTGTATCTATTTCAAGTAATTGTTTAAAGATAAAGCAGTCATCCTCAAGTATGCTGCTTTTTCAAGTAGCATATTCATTTACTTGCTCAAAAATGTCGCTTTTATAGTTGATATTTTCAACAAGTAAATGTACTACAAATAAATTAAAATGAAACTTTTTTTTGTACACAGACGACCACGAAGAGGCAGGCAAATGTGGGTTTGCTAAAAGCTGCAAGTCGACCTTTCATGGTTCTTGTGTACTCCGCGTTATCATCTTCACCATTTCAGTAGCAGCCTTGTTCGGTATGGGATTTTGCTTTGCCATGTACTTCACCATCATTTCGGGCAACAAAGCAGGAATCCATCCGGTCAGTCTTGAATGAATGAATCAATTAATGAATGGTTTATTCTATAAAAACATTGCAGCCATTATGGCTGACATGATTAAACACAAGACTCACTTCAACAGATTTTTATCACATTTTGTCACTATTGCAAATTGCCTACAAATTTGAGAAACCCATACAGAGCAACCTGGATTCCCATTATTTAATCTTGACGTTTATCTTCCAAAGATATAATCCACATTCCAAGTACCATCACAATCCTGGCCTACATAACGTATTCCTATGATCGTATCACAAAATATGCTAAAACACACACGAACAAACACACCCAAAACAATCCATTTTCATGAAGGTCATGATACGCTAACAGTTCTCTGGCACGTATGCATGCTGTGCTGTCTCTCATTTTTTCAGAACTTAGTTGTTGAGTTTACTTAATTGATAACAAGTATATCATTTTTTCCCCTTTTGAGACTGGTTGTATAATATCATGTTTATTTGTTGCATAGAACACTACAGGATATGTCATCATCTCTCCACCACCAGAGGTACCTTCTGTGCTGTTAGATGTGCCAACTGTGCTGTCAGATGTGCCAACTGTGCTGTCAGACGTGCCAACTGTGCTGTCAGATGTGCCAACTGTGCTGTCAGATGTGCCAACTGTGCTGTCAGATGTGCCAACTGTGCTGTCAAAGAGAACAACTCTGCTGTCAAAGGGAACAACGGTGCAGCCTGATGTCACAACTGTACAGCAAGCTTACCAGATGACCACAAGGCAAAAATTTACAAAGCCCAAAAAAAGTAAGACTCACGTGCGTGCATGTCATGTCAGTCAGAGGTCAGAGGTATCAGCAAAAAGACATAATAGTCATGTAAACTGAGCCTGGTGAGACTGATGAGACTTGAAGTCAACATGTACACAAGAGAAAGGGGGAGAGAGAGAGAGAGAGAAAGAGAGAGAGAGAGAGAGAGAGAGAGAGAGAGTTGTGTGTGTGTGTGTTTGTCTGTAAGAGAGAGATTACAATTATTGACATTACATCTCTAGAAACCGTCGGTGAGTTAAACACCTTGCGACTGTCTTGCCCGGCGGGACAGTCGCTTGTGATTGATGACGCCACCTTTCGACACTATAACAACATCGCGGAGAAAAGTCTGCTGATTGTGTGGAATGCCTGTCAGGGCTTACAGCGCTGCAACGTAACGGCGAATGTCCGTGTGTTTGGTGACCCCCGCCGTGGTTGCAGAAAGAATTTACATGCTACATACCGCTGTTTCACAGGTTAGCATAATGTGTTTACTACCTTCGGCATGGAGGTTATGTTTTCGGTTGCGTTTGAATGTGTGTATGTCTGTCTGTCAGTAAACAAGATAACTCGAGATGGCTTTTGATGGATTGTCCTGATATCTGGTAGGTGGGGAGACCTGAAAATGATCATCATATTTATCATCTATGCATGGAGACAATAATTTCATAAAGTTCTTCCTCGTACCACCTCTGGTGACCTTCTGGTATCTTTTTACTTTTAGTTCAATAACTTCAGGGTAGTGTACAGTGTAGACTACAAGTTGTTGTCTGTCTATCGTCATCTCCTGTAAATGTCAGAAACATTATCTAATTTGCACGTGGATGGCATTTTGCATCAAGGTTAAATACATTTTATTTTAAACCTCCTTGGTATTTGAATCCAAACCTAAACTAGTAATGCATCTAAGATATTTTTTCTCATTTTTCCAGCTTGTAGTAAACCATTTGGGATGATATCCCATGTCATACCTGATGACCGCATCACTGCATCCTCGTACTGGGACCACAAGAGCTCAAGTAATCACGAGCCCTACCGCGCACGTGTACGGTTGATCGAAGGTGCCGGTTCAGGTACATGGGCAGCAGGAAAAAACAACGTTGGAGAATGGCTGCAGGTTGGCGTTCTGCTAGTTCTGAATTTGAGTCAAAGCTATAAGAATTTTCATGCATAACATTATCAAAGAGTATTCAACTTCTTCAATTGCTCAGTATGTGATCTTCTTACATTTCACGAGCGAGCAGTAACGAATAACAATTCTGTCTTCAGGTGGATTTGGGAAGAATGAATCTCATCACAGGGACCATCATCCAGGGCAGTGGTGATGACTTTTGGGTTCGATCCTACAAACTACGGTACAGCGCAGACCGGACAACTTGGACGACATATGCAGACAGCGATGGCTTCATAAAGGTGCCTTAGATACCACAGATCACTTCACTTTAAAATTTGTTTGTTGACTACATGTATATCAGAAAAAGATATCAAACCAGCATCCAACTAAAATTATTTAGCCAGGTATCCATTCTTCTCTTCCCTCCAACTTTTCAACTCCTGTTTTTACAGATCTCCAGATCGTGTTATTTAATTGCTTTAGAATTACCATTATTATTACATATGCTAAGGTATGAATAGGTTTGCTAATATGTAATGTAATGTGTTTGTAATTACATAAATTATGTATTATGACTCCAGGAAGCTTGATTAGTGTGGTATATGTAACAAAAATGAGCCTGTAGAAGGAGAGCAAAGGTTTACTTATAATTTCTTGTTCCTTGATTATAAGGCAAAAGATATTGCTGGGTACAAATCTACCTTTATCTACATTATCCATTTATCTTGCAGGTTTTTAAAGGCAACACTGACCGGAAAACCCCTGTAACCAATCTACTGGACTACCCCATTTATGCCCGTTATGTGCGTTTCGTTGTTCAGTTGTGGCAGCAGCATATCGGCATGAGGGTGGAGATTCTAGGCTGCAGCAAAAGTAGGTCTCTGTCATTAACCTTAAAGTTCTTATCGGGTAGAGACTTTATTACACTGTTCCGCTGCTTATGTGTCCTTATCTTTCTTGTGTACATGTAAATATCTTACATATGGAAGTGGATTCATTCTCTTGCTTGTTTCCAAACAGATGTTGGTGACTGCGAGCCAAACCCTTGTGCGAATGGAGGAACATGTCTGGACCGTGAGGGCGGCTTTGACTGTGCTTGCCCCCCTCCGTTTAACGGAAAGAACTGCAGCGTTGGTATGTAAAAGAGAAAGGCTAAAGTGTAGTTCACGGCCCAAATGTTGGCATTTTCCGACCGACGAACGTACAGTGGGCCGATGACCTATTTCACGATCAGCAATACATTGTATATACTAGTAGTATGTAACTACATTGTATTTCAGCAGTTTTTCAGCAACCTACAGAATATACGTTGTATTTCAGGAATATACGTCCGACTCGCATTTCAGCAAAATTTGGAAAATGCAAAATCTAATCAAAAGATTATCCTGCATCGGAAAATGCTAACAGTAACAATCGGGCCAGAGAAAGACTTTTACCAACACCAGACACTGTTAATTAAGTATAGTCATCCTGAAGTAATGGTTTGAATAGTGACTCCAGGAAGAGTATTGCTGTGTTATATGTCACTAATTGGAGATTCCTTATATAAACCAACAAACAATGACAATAGAATATGTTTGTTGCAGTTTGTCAAACTCCTATACGCACAAAATCAGGGAGCGGGTACCACTGGACTGAAAAACCATTGACAGGATCCCGCTTCATGTTTGACGTGGAAGCCACAAGTGACGCCATTGTGGCATTGTCATCCAAGGAAAAAAAGCCGGATGACATGTATAAGATTTTTATCGGTGGCAAGAAAAACACAGAGTCTACCATACACCGCATCAAGAGCGGTATCCTCACAGAAGCCGAGACATTTAGTAAGTATCTGTGATACATATGTAGCGTCTGTCAGTGTTTGTGTGAGTCTGTGTGTGTGTGTCTTTGTGTGTATCAGTGTGTGTGTATAATAACTATGTGTCTGTGTGTTTTTGTGTCTGTGCATCTGTGTGCGTGTGTGTGTATTTTTGTGTGTGTGTGTCAATATCTCTCCCTCTCTCTGTGTTAACGTTTGTGTGTGTACGTATTTGTGTTTGTGTGTATGTGTGTGTCAATATCTCTCCCCCTCTCTGTGTTTGTGTGTGTGTGTACGTGTGTGTTTGTGTGTCTGTGTGTGCGTGTATGTATCTCTGTGTTTGTGTGTGTGTGTACGTATCTGTGTGTTTGTGTGTGTGCGCGTGCGTATCTGTGTTTGTGTGGGTATGTGTACATCTGTGTGTGTGTATCTGTGTGTGTGTGTGTGTGTGTCTGTCAATATCTCCCCCTCTATCTGTGTCAGTGTTTGTGTGTGTGTGTGTGTGTGTACATGATTGTATGAACAACAGAACTCCAGAAGGCAGTGATGAAGCTTAATGACATTTGGTATGCTGGTGTTTGAAGTTAACCTTTATTTACATTATCAATATTAAAAACTTAAAAAATAGTTGTGAAATATATCATATGGCGAAGATATGAAGTGTTGTAACTCTAGTTTGATAGTACCACGTTTTTATCCTCTTTCATTTTTGTCCATAGACTTCGTCTCCCCGACAGAGTTCAAAATGTTCTGGATTACGTGGTCTTTGGATGGAACCATTGCTGTTGGGAGGGAGAATGAAACTCAGCCGTTCTTGGAGTACAAAGACCCAAACCCCCTGCCCATCATGTATATGCTGGACTAGCTACTAACGGAAACGGCGATCCTGCACGGTGGTATCTTTGTCACATTGCTACGCCTGAAGGTAATTTTAACAATAACATTGTTATTCCTCTAACCACAACGAAAGAACTTAATTGTTTAAAGAAGCCAAGAAGAGCCTGTGTCACAGCAAATCCCCCCCCCCACGGGACGAATTCCCTAGCGAGATTGCTGTGACACTGACACCTACATGTACTCTTCAAGGACAGGTTGGGTGCGGAAGATCGTTACCTTTCTATATATGCCCCTTTTTCTGTCGCTACTGTTGGTAGGGGTGGCGACAGAAAAAATGGACATATATAGAAAGGTAATGACGATGTTCCCCACCAACCTCTGCTTGGAGAATTCTTGGATGAACGAAAAGCTACAGTAACTCCCCTTTGAACAACTCTCAAATTATTTTCACAAGTGGGGATTTTTTGTCTTCCCTTGGCCTTGCTCACGAAAAAGGAGCCAACCCAACTTAATAGATATACATGTAGCCTAGTACAAGAATAATTCTATTTGTCATAATCTCTGTTTTCTTGATTAGTAAATTGTAACTTGCATATAATTGTGCATATAAATTATAATTTGCATAATTTATGGTAAAATTCTATAAATCAGCTGCATTCCATGATAAGACTATTGAAGCTTGTGACATAATTGATAATTGAGAACAAAAGAAACACGTTATGTTATAATTGTGTAATGATAACTGCCTGGAATTTAATACTTGAGGTATTTGAAAGTTCAGTGAAGGTGAACATCATGAAACATAATGTATTCAAATCAGGACTTCATTTGCATAATTTATGAGGGAATGCTAGAATGGCATTGTTTGTTAATATTAGACTGTCGTTTGGTTGAGAATATGATAAACTGATTCATGGAAATGAGGGGGAATAATCTACAAATAGTCAGTCATAAAGATTAACATCATTTGGCAAAGGTATGAGGTCGGGGAACTCTAGCTTATTCTGTGTCCTTGTCACAAATATGTTTTCTATGTCTCTAGCAGATGACTGTTTCCCATCTTGAAACTTGTAAATAAACTTTATTCATTTATCAAAGATCATCTACATTATGGGAAAGACTGCCAGGTGGACCCCAACATTAGGAGGGCGTGCGGCTGGGATGGAATCACACCAGATAAGTGTCGTAAGAAAGGATGTTGCTATGATGATTCCGTGGATCATGCAAAATGGTGCTATCAGTATCACAAACTGTAGGTTCAGGCACTTTTTATGTTTCAGTGTGCAAATGTAATTTCTGACTTTGTATTGATATTGTATTGTATTGTCTGTTTTACCCTCCCTTCCACTTGTATACTAGTATTTCTTGTGGCAAATCCAAGTAAATAAATATAATTGTGCACCTTCCCTATACATTTTTCACTGTAATTTTGACAGTGCGCAGTACCTTTTAACTAGTCTGTATATTGGACTAACAAAAAATCATCACTTTTCTAGTAACAGAAAGTATGAAGTCAGTTTCTGTCAGATTTCCATTTTTGCATGGCTTATGTAAACTACGTCCCAAAATCTACGTCACAACACGCTTGAGTTTAATACATTGTTGATGTTTTAATCTATATAAGGAGATTGGTGTTACTGTGCCTTTGTGTTACTGTGCATTTTGATGTTTAAACCTATAGCAGGAGAAAGTTATTATTGTACCTTTCGATGTTTTCATCTATAGCAGATGAATGTTGTTACTGTGCATTTAAATTTGTAAATATAGCAGAAGAATGGCGTTACTGTCACAGTAGATTTCGATGTTTAAAACTATAGCAGGAGAATGGTGTTACTGTAGATTTTGATTGTATCTAATATAAGTAATTTTACCACTGTTCTTTCGTCGTGAAGAAGACTTTATTTAGAACTTACTGCTCTCGACTGTTTGGCGTCCAGCTATGGAACCATGTTAATTCGAGTGTGCTTGCCAAATGTCGGGTGGCATATAATAATTATTTTTGGATACTTCTTAAGTTTCCAAGATGTTGCAGTGCAAGTACTATGTGTGTTCACCAAACTACTGACACATTTGATGCCCGACACAGAAAATTATGCTACTCCTTTGTTGATAAGCTAAACAACACCAACAACAGCATAATACAATGTCTTCTGAGGTCAGATTGTCAGTACAGAAATTCTTTTTCTAATGTATATAAGATGTTGTATGTATAGTTTGTGTTTCTATGCTTGTACTGTTGTTTTCTATAGGTGAAATACCTGAAATAAACTTTAAAGACATTCATTCATTCAATAGCAGGAGAATTACTAGTATGTTACTGTACATTTTGATGTTTAAATCTATAACAGAAGAATAGCGTAACTTTCAATGTTTTAATCTATAGCATGAGAATAGTGCTACTGTAGATTTCGATGATTAAATCAGTATTAAAGATATGCAAAATGCATCCAGCTTATCCCAAGAGACCTAAAATCTTTATTAAACAAAGAAGTCAGGTACTAGTAACAGAATAACTTATGAGGAATGAGAAAACAATGTGAAATTTTTCAACCAAAAGTAAAACATTTTTAACGCGCATAAGCCCGTTCCCATGACGACAATGTCCTTATAAATAAAGTGAACTGAACAATGCCACGCCCACCCAACATCTGCTTGGAGATTGCAGACGACAGCAGTCTTCTTCTAAACAAAAGCCCCGAAATTTGCCATGATGTTGCTTCAGACTTTGTAATTTTTTTGCTTAAAATGACAAGGAAGAACTTAGGAAACAATCTGACGGTAACTTACCTCCTAAAACTGACGTTTAATAACCGTGAAGGACGAGTTTTTCCCGAGTTGACCCTTCCAGTTCCACGACCCGGCGCCATCTTGATTCGCATCTCCCGGGTTCTATCGCGCAATGCACTATGGGTGCCATCTGTTCGTAATTACCTCGGATCTGCCCCGGCCGTAGCCTCTACCAGGCTTGGGGAGGTGGTTGAAAAGAATAGAAATCGGCCAAATAGAGAGATAACATGCCAAGGGAGTTTGTCCGTTGAAAGAACATTTCGCCGCAATGTTCTTTCAACGGACAAACTCCCTTGGCATGTTATCTCTCTATTTGGCCGATTTCTAATCTTTTTAGCCGCCTCCCCAAGCCTGGTAGAGGCTACCCCGGCCGTGATTTAGAGCTCTACAGTGGCTCGGAGCGGCAGGCGGAAGCCGTGTTATTAAAGCTCGGAAAAATGTTTAGCAAGTTATAACGTATATACATGTACAGTAGTTACTAGGGAGCAGAAGAACCATTTCAGCACCAAGGACATCGTCAGTGGACGCACCACCCCTGTACTCAGCTCCGGTCGCGGCTGAGCGGTCTCCGTAACCATGTAGCGGCCTTAACGTTATAAACCCTCTGATGTGTTTTGAAGAACTGTTTGGTTGTATCAAAAACATCAATATTTAATGTACATTCCTGGAAAAACCACATTGTTGTTGATTTGCTTGTATGGCGTGAATGGTGGATTACATGTAACGTTAATCTCACTCCTGTTATGGCGAAAATATAATTCTCAGAAAAATGAGACCCGAACCTTGCGTGGGTTGGGCTTCGCCAAATTAATTTCTTTTAGAGAAGCAGATCTTTATGATATTGAAATTTTCTATATTTGCTCGATTCAGTCAATCTAGCTTTCCACGACTCTTGTTATATAACGCGTTAAGACAGATAGCAAATTTATACGCTCGATTCAAGAGTCGCCGCAGCTAGGTGTGTGAATTTACTAAGTCCTACAATTGTGGAAACGCGCTATATTGCTCTTCATAGTTTGTCTTTTCTATATGTACATGTACCTGCACGTCAAAAGATCACCCATAACTAAAAATGTATCATGATATTTTCATTACCAATTTTTAGAAAGTGTCTGGAATATCATATAAAATGTTCACAATTACTGTAGCATCTATTTCTATTCACAGAAAGAAATCATTGTCTAAAACATTCTGCATACTACAGCAATAGATGTCACTCTGTAAGTCTTAGTCTAAAAATGACAATACACAAATTTTATCATATTTTCCCCATTAGCCGTCTATGAAGTTTAAAATGACACATTCTTAAACTTAAACTGCTTAAACTCTAGAAGAAATTTCATTTGGCATCCTTACACACTGGACCATCTATTAAGCAGTGCTCTGGTTTTAAGTCATTTCATGTTTCCATACAACGCAAGCATATTACAATTTATATCATTGTGATAATGACTGTTATTGTAAATCTTACTGCTTTAAAAGCCATAAAATATTTCAATAATGTCTTCAAACCATTGCTGATGCGCAATACATTTTTGAATCTGATTTAACATTCTGCAAGGCTTACTACAAGATGTATGAATTGTGCTTGAAGTATCTTCTTCCTTTTGTAAAGTACATGTACATGTACATGTCACATTTCTCATTACATTTCTTATGAATTGTCGGTAAGTTTGTATAATTGCAGATTCCTTAAATTTTCTATGACATCTTGAATGTGATAAGGTATTCTGGATAAGCCTGAGCATCATGAAAGATCACAAACACAGTGGGGTTGTTCACATCATTCACAGTGGAGTCAAAGGGAACATTAGGTTTATCACTCCTCATGGGTGCTTTGGTCATGTCTTGGGACCCCTTGGTGTATTCTCCAGTTGTGACCTTGCACAGGAACATTTTCTTGTGTTTGGTGGCTGGGTCTGGTACAGAGTAGTAGTCCTTTGTGGAGTAGGCTGCTTTCAGGGCAAAGTATGAACCCTGACCTTCCCAACATCCTGTGGAGAAAATAAAAGTATTAAATAGAAAAGTCAGAAAATGAAGTAGAGATATACAATTTATTTTTAAATTAGTGATTGAATGTATTTTTTAAAGATGCCACTTGGATAAAGGTGTTGTCTTATGTCCTTTCTTCTCAGTTTTTGCTGTCCTTGAATACTTGATGTCAGCTATATCATTGTAAGAATTACATGTAAGTTGCAAAGTGCAGGTTATTGAAAGTTAGAACTTAACTAGAAATAACACATGCAAAGTAAATACATGTTACCTTCACATGGTCTGAGAGAACAAAGTACTGCTCTGTTTACTCTTTCTAAAACACATTCATACAATGATATATATGGTGACCAACCACTCCAACTCTGTCCTGCCACATGCTACATGATGTAATTCAATACCGGAGCGTGTCTATTACAGCACCACTTAGTAATACATATTTGTATACCATGGTGACAGGGTTTGGTCCAGGTCTTATCTGTTTGGAGAAGAAGAAGAAGAAACGGTGCAAAAACAAAGACAGGTAAACATAATGAGCACTGCCAGTTACATACCAACATTTCCTCCACTGTAGCTCCTGTTGAAGCCATTATGAGTGATTGCCACAGTAACCTCACTCTTAGTCCCATGCCACAGTTCTTGCTCCACTTTCCTGTAAGATGAATTAGTAACTGAGCCTTAATCTATGTCAGAAATTTGCCTTGGTAAACATAATAATACTCATTGACAATTAATGCTCATACTGGCTTAGTCTTCATATCATCTGCATCTGCAGCAAAATGTGTCACAAGCAAGATTTTTTTCTTAAAAATATCAAGTGCATGAATTGCCAAAGCTACTCTATATCAAGTGCATGAATTGCCAAAGCTACTGTAAGTATTGGTGTCTTTTCAAAGCCTTATATAGGTGACTAATGGGGTTAAATTCATTAATCAAACATATTCCTACCTTCTTGGATTGATTTGTCCAATTTTCTGGCGTTGAGCGCAGTACTGGGTCCACAGGGTAGGGTTCTGGACCCTCTCAATGCTCACTACCGTTGCCTTCATCCCCTGTAAACTGTTAGTGAACTTCCCTGCCACTGTGCTGTACTCCTGGGATCCAGACTTCAGGGGAACGATGTGGCAGATTTTTGGTTTCTTCGTACTTCGGTCCTGTGGCTGTGGGTCCCATGTCGAAGGCAAACCGCCACCTGTTTAAAAAATAAAAAGATCATTGTTACCTAAAATAGTGTCACTGTGTAATTCTGTGGGTAGTGACACTGCCTATGGATGTAGAGTCATTTCCTCTTGCTATCAATCAGAAGGCCATGCCACTTTGATTTGTTGTTTCTCTGACTTTTTCAGAAAAAAATGAAGCAACAGGGTGAAAAAACAGGCCTAGGCATACTATGATAGCCTCAAAAGCTAGGAGCCATGAAGTCAACAGGATGTTTCAAACAATGAATTTCGAAATTTTTATTAAACCACTGCATAATTAATAGATGGAAAAAAACTGTAACAACTAGGAAGACAATGAGTTTGTTCAACTGTTGGGGTCAAAATATGAGCATTTTGTAGCTGATTCAGAACCTGTCGAATGTTTCTTGTTTTTGAAAATAAAAAAAGAGTGCAAATCTGAGAAGCAATTCATTAAATTGGTGTTGCTTTGAGTTTTATTTCAAACAGCACTGCATCCAAGGAAGACTTGATACAACTTACCCACTTCTGCCCTCTTGTCTCTCCTCTGTACAGGGAAGGACCTTTTGGACGGTTTCATGGTGACTCTCATGGCCTTGAAGTCAATCTCACAGTCCTCATTGTCATCATCATATTTTACAGAGCTCTTCTTTGCTTTGTATGCAGCCTCGATGATGGCATTTGCAGCTGGGTGGATTTTTTGTTCCCTGCCTTGAGCTACAACATAGGACCTGAGAAAACAATCACATTAAATGGCAAATTTTTTCTACATAGATGTACTTGCTTATTGTAAACATTACCCATTGAAGGTTATTTTAGACAAAGACAAAGTTGACTGTAAAGCTGTACAGTAATACACACAAAACTGTATACAGTTTTGTGTGTATTACTGTACAGCTTCACAGTCAACTTTGTCTTTGTCTAAAATAACCTTCAATGGGTAATAGCTAAGGAGTGCAGGGTCTAAGTGCCCACTCTTGAACTCTCATTGTGCATTAGTAATGTTTTCCGTGTGAGACTTCTGTTTAAAAAGATAAACTTTTAATTCAGCAGCCCATCTGATGGCTTTAAATAATTATTGTTTCTCATCTTGGCCTAGCCTGCCCGTGCCATCTGATTTGTAATGGAGCTCCTTGCACTCTCTTTTTGGGATCAGCAAGTGACAGATCTAGATAGCAGTAGCTAAGCAAATGATAGAAGTATTAGTTATGATAGAACTTACCATTGTGCATCCTTCTGGACTGAATGTGCTTTCTCCAAGTCCCTTTGCTCCTCTACCTTAGCATTCAGGACTGTCCAAATCTTCTTCAAGACTTCAGTGACATCATGGATTGCACCTTGGATTAGGAGGCAGTCAACACCACTTCCTGCAATGTAGAAATGCATTGTATTGCATTAATATTTACTGAACTTCATGAAATATTGCACTTCTTCTAATACAAACAAGTGCACAGTTTCACTTTGGCATAATACACCAGCTTTAGAGGCATGCCACGCAGTGTTAGCTGGCTAAATTACACCAAACGCCCTGTTAGGCCCAACCATTGCACACCTAACTGCAGGCATTGTTTAAAGCTCAGTCTAGTGACGATGCCTCAACTGTACTTTGTGGCAGTGAGTTCTACTCTACGCTAGTTCTAGGAAAATGCAAGTTTTTCAACACTTCTGAATCAATCCTTGGCTGATAATTCTGTACTTGGAGGCATGACTTGGCTTGTTCTTTCTTGTTCTTGTTCATACAACAATAGCCCACCTTTTTTTACCACGACGTCCCTGTCTTCACCATAGGTATGGATCATCCTGGCCTCCTGTGCTGTCAGCATGGTGACAGCAGGGTTCTCAATCTTCTGCTCCTGACAGTTCTTCACCACAATGCTGTCCACAGCCTTCCTGGCCCTGTCTAACCTGTCCTGGTCAGGTCCAAACAGGAGCAGTGTCAGTTCTTTTGGAGTTGAGGCTGGGAAGGACACGTTCCCTGCAGGTCTGGGAGCAGGAGAGGGTCTGCTGGATGAGTTGTCGGCATCAGAGGAACCAAAACCAAAGGCGCGAGCAAACTCTGTGGGAATATGAGAATCAAATGTAACATTTTTTTAAGGTATTCGTTGGTCACAACAATTCATTTTATTGGTGCTTAGGAATTTTTTTAGCAAAGATTCAGTCAGATTATGAAAACAGGGTGTTGTGAAGAAAACATTAATCTGATCATATCTTGAAAGTTCATATGTTTTGGTAGAAGTCATTATGAACGAGATTGATATATAAGTGCCAACACAAAAAAATTGGACTCACTCATTAATCTGATTATATGCAGTTTTGAAACCAGTATAGAGAAGCACCAGACAAACAGACAAACACACAGACAAAACAGACAAAAAAAGAGAAATAATTCAAGGACTGTTACAACTGTAAACCAACTTTTGAAGAAACTGGTTCCATGCCCATTCATGGCAGCCCTTCTGTCCATCTCTGTGTGGAAGTCCTGTAACATCTGCTGTTGGAAGATGGTGATTCTTACTTCCTTCACGCTGGCTGGGCTGCAGTCACGGACAAAGTCAGCAATGCCACCAAGCATGCAAAAGGCTGACTTATCAGGGCCAATGTTAAATCCTCCTGAAAAAAAAGGATTTTAAATGTCTTCATACATGTATCATATGTGTTGTTGGAATTTTGAGGTGAAGCATTCAAGTTCATTCCTTAAAAGCCCAGCAACAATTACATGCAGGTATGAATGATACCTGAAAACTATCATTATCATCATAAGACAGAACATCAATATGTAGAGAATTTGTATCAGTATAGAGTACAGAGTAGAGAATGGTCTTCAAGCACCAGGAAAAGGGATAGTGCAAGATAGTGCAGGGTGGGGATGGTATTTCAGTGCCAATGAAAGGGACGGTACATGATAGTACAGGTTGGGGATTGTCTTTCAGCATCAAGCATACAATATATCTTATGTCATGTATCATATCTGTGGTTTTGAATAAACTTGAATAAACAAGGAAAGGGATGGTACAGGATAGTACAGGGTGGGGACGGTCTTTCATTAACTCAGGAAAGGGATGGTACATGATAGTAATTATAAAGGGTGAGGATTGTCTTTCAGCATCAAGGAAAGGGATGGTACATTATAGTACTGGGTGGGAATGGTCTTTTAGCACAAAGGAAATGGATAGTATAGGGTGGGGATGGCCTTTCAGCACCAAGGAAAGGGATTGTACAAGATAGAATAGGGGGATGGTCTTTAAACACCAAGGAAAGGGATGGTAAAAGATAGTACAGTGTGAGAATGGTATTTCAGCACCAAGGACAGGGATGGTACAAGATAGTACGGGGTGGGTCTTTCAGCACCATGAAATGGGAAGGTACATGATAATACAGGGTGAGTATGGTCTTATATCACTTAAGGAAATGGATGGTACATAATAATACAGGGTGAGGATGGTCTTTTAGCACGTGTAATAGGGACCTGACTAGCTGAAGGGCTGCCAGAAGTGCGATGTAGTCAAGCTATTCTAGTTACTGCTGAGACAAAAGTTTTGATTGACTAATTGCCTCACCTGTTCCTAAGGCAGGGAAGGCCACACTCTGCATATTTTTCTGTTCAGCAACCACCAGAACTTTCTTGACATAGCCTCTGAGCTGGTCTTCCCTGTTTGGGGAGGTCAGGTGAAGCACATTGCTGCATGGTAGGTCGTGTCCTCCTGCAAGGCAAGTAGCCAAGGAATAAGGCCTAGGAAAAAATGTCTCCTGTTTCCCAACCAATCAAAGTAAAAACCAGCCAACCCAGCCTTTTTTTGGTTGACTGCTAGCAATTCCATTAAATTTCTAATTTGAAACATTATTTCAAGGATTTTTGAAAGAAAATTTCCTTTGAGTAAATAGGGTAAAATACTCCCCAGAAGCAAATGGAGGGACGGGTTCTGGCCCTAATCTTTTCAGTTTTACATTTGTTATGTATTTGCTGGCTCATTTCAGTCAACAGGAAAAAGAGAATCTCTACCGAACAATCCAAGTTTTTTGCAGGACTGTCACTCCTTGACAATTGACTGGAGTTGTAAAGTCAAAAATTTGGTCAAAAGTCTGATTACTGTGTTAGGAAATTATAGTTCATACTTTATAGTTACTTCTATCAACACCGACAAACTCTCAAGATATGTTTTGAAGTTATTGATTGCTTCTCACCTGTGACGACCACACTCCCGTCTCTAAGGTTACCGTTCTGCATGATGTACTGCTGACACTCCCTCTGTAACCCTGGGCCTGCTGCACCCCCAACAACCTTGGCCATCCCTCCACTCAAACCTGAAAAAGGGAAAAGAAATTTGACTTGATGCCACATTAATTTTTATCTGTTGATTAAAATGGTGGTCTTTTGGTTAGGGTTGTTGACTTGGAAGATTCCAGGGTGCAAATCCTGGGCAGACCCCACTGTTGCATCCTTGGGAATTTACTAGGCATTTCACACCTATTTCCTCACTTGACTCAGGTGAAAATGAGTACCTACTCTGAGTTAGGGACATCCTTTTGGATGGGACATAAAGCTGAAAGTCCTGTTTTTGAAGAGTCACGCAAATGATCCCACCACACTTATCATAAAGAGTAGGGGCCCTTCCTGGCATGAATTTTTCAAACCTTACAGTCCGGTCTTACACAGCTTGTACTTACTGTACAAAACTGGTGCGTTACACTCAAAGGCAGTTTACCGGTTATGCAAAACAAAGAAACAAAACACTTTAAAATGTTTAACTACAAAATAAACAAGAAAACAGAGTGAGGGGCTTCACAGTCATTATGTCTGGGTCCATAAGACCTGAGTTATTCTTTGAAGGCCTTGGTTAAGGTATATACTCTAAGGTGTTTCAAGGTCATGAATGTATTTACCAAGGTCATTCCTGGTTGGGTTGACAATGGCGTCCACCCTCTCACCGGTGATGTCCCCTGTCCTGACCTGGACAGTCACTGCAGCCATGTCCATCTCCTGTACACCAGCCTGGGGCTTCCTCACTGCTGAGTAAATTTCTGATTTGGAAAAACAAAACAAGAAATCAGAAATTTCAGACCTCCAGGTTATATAATCCTAATCCTTGGCTTTCTTTGCTCTCCCTTAAATTCTCCTATGCTGGATCCTGGCTAGATTTTGAGACCTTTAAGCTCCTGTCATTCTGCCCATCAATCATCCCTACCCAAGAGCCACCAATTTACTCTGTTTGGACAAAGAGATATATTCATGGCATAGCAAAACAATACTTCTGTTCACAGAAGTAAAAATCAAGGGCATTGAGATATGTGCTGGTGTAGTGTACATATGTATCAAGATTTAGAAGATGTAAGGTAAGTATACTAAAATGAGATGTCTTACTGAATAAAAACGGAGGGAATAACATATGATTATGATTTAAGGGTTAATGACCCGCCCCGAGGTGAATATGGTGTGATAAAACCTTGTCAGTTGCTATAACCACCGAATAAAGCCACCAAGTGAGCGCAGCGAACGCGGTGGCTTTATGAGGTGGTTATAGCAACTGACAAGGCTTTATCACACCATATTCACCGAGAAAGGGCGGGCCATTAACGCTATTATCATATAGCTTACACGATAGCCTATCCAAACTGATGCAGTAAGTGACACAATACACATGCTGAATAGAATATAAAACATAGTTCCATCATAGAAGTCACCTGAGGTCACTGGGTAGAGTTCACGTTAACTGGGTCACAGACAGGGAACAGGTGTTCTTATGGGAGTCACCCGAGGTCAATGGAACACAACTTAAGTTATTTTTGGATTTTTTAGAACTAGAGCCGTATTCTATTGGGTCACCTGAGGTCATATGCGGGTGATTAATTGGGTTGTTTAATGTATGGATTGGGATGAATAAATACCCGGTTTTGACTCTATTTGTGACATTATGGCGTCATAAGGAATGTGGAATGGAGCCTTCTGATTGGTCAACGTCACCTGGCTATATGATAATAACCTATAACACACAAATTGGTTACAGTTTTAGGCAACAGCAAGAGGTAACAAGCTGATGCCTTTTCCTTATCCTTTAAATCTGTAATACATTCTTGGCCTTGATTTTTATATTTCCATGTTCTGTATGTGACCATTATTTATCAGACAACGTCTCTGACCTGTTCCTTTGCCCCCACTGCCACTTGTAGGGACAGCAGCTACAGGTGTTGTTCTTCTGCCTTCCTGTCTGTCCTTCAGCTCTTTTGCAAAGGCTTTTACAGTGGGCTGGTCAAACACAATGATCCTTATGTCCTGGAAGCAATATTTGGGATGATATCAAAGACAATGTACATCCAGAAATGATGCTTTAACTGTGAAAAATCAGAATGACCCAACAACAGAAATCTTAAAGTCTGAAAAACAACAGCGAAAAAACAACTGCTTACGTATACAACAGTTTTATGAATTTGTTTTTTTTATTCAATCATAGTTGTGAATTTGTCTGTCTGCATCTATACATTTTTTAACTGGCTCCCAAAAGAACCAAACTTTGTTCAGGCCCCCAGCCAGCTTCTTGAACCTTTTCACCTAACTTCCTGTGTCTAACCTTCCTGTCAGTCTGTGGTTAGGGAATTCCTCCCACCTGCATACTGAATGGGCAGACATACAGATACAGACCTGCAAACCAAAAAGAATACCTCCATAAAAATTACCTTGACGGAGCATGCACGGTTCCTGTAGTAGAAACCCAGTATTGCATCATACATGGACTTTGCCACCTCATCCCTTCGGAAGCCCATGTTGCCTGTGCCAATAGCAGGGAAGGCGATGGACCTGTGTCCACTCTGACTGGCATTACTCAGGCACTTGAAGATCAGCTTTTCCTGAGGCTGAAAGCATTGGATTAAATCCTTATCAGATTTAAGATCTATAATCCTTGACGTGATCTTTATATGCTGGTATCATAAAGCATACTTAGTATGTGTAGTAGTAATACATGTAGTACGAGTAGTGATATCCAGTATTTTATTATACAGATGCCCCTGATGCATGTGTGAGTAGCAGTGAGCTGGTCTTTATACCACATTTCCAGGTAGCTCTGTCAAAAGGGTCTATGCTGGTAAGGCTGCACACTTTTAATGTCCTTCTTAACACATTTATCATCCAATATTTCTCAGTCTAGAATGTCACCTCTGTTTTCTGGTATGCAATTTGGGGATGGTGTAGTGAGTTGCAAAATCTATTTCATAATTTTTTTTTAGTTATTGTAAGTGCAAGTCTGAGTAAAAGCAGCTGACTTACAAGGCAACACCAACCAAATGAACAACTTACATTTCTGTCTGCCATTCCAAACAGGACAGCGTGGTAGACTTGACTACAGCTCAGCCTTCCTGCAGACTGGGTCACAACAACTTCACCTGGCTTAGCCTGGCCATGGTTGTTACACAGCTGTGATATAGAATAAAAGGATGTCAAAGTCATGAATAGCATATAAAGCAGTGTTCTGGCCAGTGTCTGCAAAAATGCAATGTTCTTTTGTACTGTAGATTGGTTCTAGCTATTAACTAGTGGTACCAAATAGTTAGTTTGTGGGCCTTCATGCATCAAATATGAAATGTTGACAAAAAAAGAGCTAAGAAATGTCAGTACTAACATGGCAGTAAATTCCATATCAAACAGATTTCCTTATCCAGAATATTTTTTGGTTTGCCACCTTGAAATTGCATTGGATGTTTTTACAGCATTCAAATTTTGCATTGTTTATCGTAAAAGTCTGAATGAGAGAAGGCTAAGGCAACTGCAGCATCAAACGGATGGCACTTCAGTACACTTGATTCACACAGCTGAATTCAGCACCAAGAACAGAACCTAGTGTCTGGGTGGCCACACCAATCTATGTTACTGGCTCTCAGACAATTTTAAGCAACAAAATGCCAGCTGAGGATGAAAGCAAGGGGTTGGGAGGAAAACATAAATCTGACCATATGCAGTTGCTGAACCTGTCAGGCTGCACCAAGGCACAGAATCCTTTCTGCTGATATGCTGGCGTGGACTAATAAGGAAAACATTTAACTGATCCATACCTGTTGGAGCTGTAATCCACCTGCCTTCCCAAATGCACTGTTAACTCCTCCACCAGTCAGGGCCAGGTTTGTACCAGTGGTGTTCACAAGAACATCCACCTGGAAATATAACATCCTCTTAAAATCAGTGCAACACTATTTTGTAATAAACAGAAAGGTGCAAAATTTGATTTTTTGCAATAGCTTGTACTACCTCTTCTGCATCAATGTAGGCTTGATGCAAGGTAAATATTTGCTAATTGCAAGAGAACACACTGTTACATCTTGTACAATTATAACATTTATTTTTTTAGTCTATAGATCTATCATTACGATGTTTCTTATTACATTAATGAGGGGTTTTACTTTTTTGGAGGCAGAGGAAAATGACTATGTCTCAAATCCCACATTTTTGATGAGAGGGTTTTCTGATTGTAGTAGAAATATGTTTTTGTAGGTTTTCTACATGGTGAAAGAATGGTGAGATTGTAGAAACTGTTATAAATAAAAACCTTACCAACTAAATAAATCTATCAAAGCCATTTCTTTCTCAAAGGTTGACTTTTGCACCTGTTCTTGGGTAATATCTCCCTGTTTCAGCAGAATCTTGACACCCCCAGGTCCTGACAGTATGTTGTTGGCTGCACCAGTTGATACTGCCCCTCCCCTCTTACTGCCTGGACCCTGCCCAGGTATCGTCAGCTTGTCCCTGCCAAACCTACAGAAACAAGAAATTAAAGATACGTCAAAGAACTTTGAGCATTATGTAATATAAAATAAGTCAAGCAACTGAATACTTCTCTGAGCAGTCAGATGTTTCAGATAGCATCTGTTATCTTTCATGATCCCCTACCTAAAATGTCTGACTCCTCAGGGAAGTATCCATTTCCTTGACTTATTTTGTATCATCTGTAACCTGCATGTGGATCATGAAAGACTATGGACAGTATCTGAAATGTCTCATTTCTCATAGAATTTGAGTAATTTTGTACCACATAAGAAAATTAGAGCTTATCTAGCAAAAGATAGCTGGCAATGTACATGTATTGGATACTCCTATTAAAGTGATTTTCTAATCAACTGAATGTTGATGTCAGTTGCACATGGATAGCATGGCTGGCACACAACTTTTTGTTGCAATAAGTTGAAATAATGTTGAAATTAAACCATTACATTCAACAAATGCTTCCTTCATAACACTTCTTGAACTAACCTTTTGACAAATTCGTCCTGGAATGCATCAGCTTTCCTGGAGTCCATCTCTATCAGATGAACCTCAGTCAGGGTACAGGTGTTGTTAACTTGAAAGAAGCTTTGCACAGAATCCAATATGGCAGCCGCACATAGGCTCATGGGGTATCCATAGATGCCTACAGGAATGAACGAATAAAATTATCAACCAACATGTCATTTTAGTTGCATGCCACTCAAAGACGATGCTTCCCAGGGTGTAGGTGGTCAGTTTTAATGAAATGTTTTAAATGTTGAGAACAGAAAGGAAACCAGGAGAAAAATATTCCCTCTCCTTGGCACTGAAACAGAACTTTGTATCAGTGTCTTATACATTTTTGGGTCAAATGAAAAAAAATTATTCCCTTTTATCCATCCCCTGAACATTCCTTGTTTACTAACTTACCTGAACTGATCCCGGGTATTGCAATGCTGTGGTTGTCCTTTGCTGCCTGCATAGACTTATAGACAGCTTGCTTCAACAGAGCTTCCTTGACTTGCTTGTCTACATCTGACATATCTGTAATCAAGAAAACCAATCATTGCATGGGTCAGTGGTCTTCAGATGGATAAGTTGCCTGGCTTTTACTCTTCTTTTTTTCAGTTCCATTTTTCTTTCCTGATAACTTCCCCGCAGAAATTAAATTATCGTGAGGCAATCATGCTAAATAGGTAATGGTGGTATTAAAAGGTCTGTGGACAAAATATCCTCTCAATCATTGGCCTCCTCACGTCTCAGTAGACAATGGGCTTGGTCCAGGAGATTCCCGGCACCAAAATGTGCTGTTAGAGACAGGTTAAACGTAGTTTGGTATGCCAGTAAAATTTGCACCTCAAAATTCAAGAAATTAGCATTTCAGAGGGTTAAGATTTCAAAACTTTCCAGGGAGCATGCACCAGGACACCTCATGTTGGTTGTGCTCACAAGAGTGCAAATTATCAAATTGTGCTGCTGCCTCTGGAACAACATGTGCAGTAAATTACATTTTGTACCTTGACTCCACTGTGGTCCTACAGCATGCACCACCATCTTGCAGGGCAGGTTGTATCCCTTAGTAGTCATCACTTCCCCATCAGCCAATGGACCAGAGTCTCTCACATGCTTATCACAGTCCTGCTGGATCTGAGGACCAGCTGAAAGAACAGACAGACAGAAAGACCCTGTATGAGATGTAGGTTGGCTGTAAGTTGATGTCATCTAATGTATTGTCTGTATCTTCTCTCCTGAATGAATTGTGGTCACTAGACAGCTAAAGAAGAGACAAAAACACTGAAATAACAGAGACGTTTCATTTTTCTCAGGATAAAAATTAAAATTTTGGGTTCAGAACCAAATTGGTTCGCAAGAGTAGTGAAAGAAGCAATATACATCAGGTCCCTACAACCATCCCTGTATAAGATTCTGCAAAACATTATTCACTGCTCAACAAGTCAACTCCTACCTGCATAATGTGATGTCACAGAAGTGGTGGCCTATATCTTGACAAAGATTTGGGCTGTACAGTCAAAATTTCAAATGAAATTTTATTGTGTGTTAAAGACTACAGTTTAAAGCTACTTCAGAAAAATCTCTAATTGGTTATTTTAGTGAAGATGTTGCAAAGGCCTCTTGTGCTGAGAGATAATAACATGACACAACATTAACAAAGCCTTAAGTTCCAAATGACCGATATGGAAACTAGTCACCAGTCAGCCGTACAAAACAAACCAATTCTTGAGTATTCTAGACTCTTTTTTTCTCTTTTTTGAACATGTTCATTCTGGAAACCTGTCTAGTATGAGATATTTACCTGCACGAGCGATAGCCCCTGCCACACCTCCGCCGTGCCTCAGGGTGTCATTAGCAGCATTCACGATGACGTCCACAGTGTGTCTCGTGATGTCACCATGCACCACCACAAGTTTCTTTCCATGTTTGGTGGTGTGGCTGCACAGCTGAAGGGAAAATTTGTTCATGTGAGACTGTTGGGCTACCTAAGGAATGCACTTGTAACTGAGGTTACAGAACTGAGATTTAAGAAATGGATACAGTTATCTGAACATTAGCATTGCTCCCTGCTGCCTAACCACCTAACCAATAGAGAATTAGTAGCCAGATTGCCACAGTGTGCTAAAGGTTAATTCAACCTTGGTCATGGTAGAAATCTGCATTAGAAATGGTTAAGACACCCAAGTGATGGCACTTCAGTCCTATTGATTCAATTTCAGCACCAAGGACAAAACCTAGTAAGTTACTCACTGTCAGTCAATTTCAAAAGGCTGAGAAACAAGAAGTCTCTGACGTGGTTGTAACAAATTCAGGAAGTACAGGAAGTTTCTAAGAACATAACAGTGTAGAAATGTATTACTTATATGTCAGTACAGATATATGAGATAGTTCATGAAGGTAGAAAATTACACAATACAAAAACCTTACTGTTTTGGCTCCTCCTCTCCCCCGTGAAGGAACGTCAGGGATGATCAGACAATGATTTTCTCGTCCTGCAACATCCAGCAGGGCTCGACCTGTTTCACCTGTCAGGAACTTGTGCATTCCTGCAAAAACAGGATCATATATACCATCATATAGCATCACATTGTAAGCATGATGCACAATCTTAATCGATTCTAATTCTTGATAAGATGTGGCACAAAATCTTGAAAACGACTTTGCAATTACATGTCTTATCAACCCCTCAAACAAGTACCAACAACTGTTAGACAATAGATGATGGATGATGTGCATACCTGGTTTTGTGATCTTCTTGCTGACTTTCTTCACATCTGCCACCAGTTTTTCCAACTTCTTCTTTGCCTCTCGTGTCCCGTCTTTCGTCCCTCTGATGGAGAAGCCACCAGTTGTCCTGCTCGTGATCTTCACAGCTTGTTCTGTGTGCTGTCTCTCCACTTTACTGATGTCATCCTTCTTGTACTCCTGAAGAAACTTCACACAGCCTTCACTGGTGTCCACACTCACCGTGATGATGGTGTTTGTTGAGATGTATGTTCCAATATTGTCTTTCACAGTAGCCACGTCATGCGGTGGGCCGACGATCCACACATTCTTCTTGCCAAGGTGGATACAGATGAGATGTTTTCCTTGAAGATTCTTAAAGAGTGACGTGGCCTCCTTGGACCTTAAGACGTCTGCGGAGTCTGCGTCAAACGGGATGGTTGACTCCAACACACACTGTGTCATCACCCCTTTTGCTTTCTCTACGTCCTCACTCTTTAGCGCAAAAAGGTTGACTTTCTCCTCTTCAACAACAAAGGCCACTTTGAGATGATTTCCCTGCAAGCATCCCTCAAAGTGCATTCTTCCCTTCTCTGTTTTCAGGAATGCCGCGACACCGCTGGAGACTATCACCCTCCCTTCTGCCGGATTTTGTGTCGTCTCGTACACGTGAAGTTTTGCCGTCATCACAGCGCGATCGTCTCCCGTCAGCTTCACCTCTTTGTGCTCCATGTCGATCTTCACGTCCACTTCAGGATGGGACGCCGCAAAGTCACTGAGAAGAAGAAGCTTGAGTTTGTTTCTATCAAGCTTCACAGCCTCTGTGACACTTGGAGCCTTCTCTCTTGCCTCCAACTCAGGCTTTGCAATCTCCTGCATACCTGTGAGCGTGAAATACAAATGCATCAAAGCAGCATTCTAGCCAGCATTTTACAAAATCTTGCTGCTCATGACAAAAACATTATCATCTTTGACAGACAAAAAAGGTGTGTAAAGATACATTGTATATGGAAAGTAAGCTTAGTGTAACAACAAAATCTGATCCTCAAGATTGAATTTTGTTATATATTTATGAATTTTTAACACAACTGTATTGCATTATGATTAATATGTTTTATTTAGGCTTCATTCCTCTTCCTGTACTGTTTTGTATTCTATACATTTCTTTGTTTGTTTTTAAAAGTTTTCTTATTTAGTAAACAAACAAACAAACCTGCAGAGTCATCAGCATCTTCCATGACAGTTGTGCTCTCCCTGGCTGGTGGAGGGGCTTCCACTGTGGGAACTGGGGAGGATGTGTCCATTGCTTCTGGATCTACACTGTCAGCGGGTTCTTCCTCAGAGTCAAGAAAATCACCAAGGCACTCGTAGTATGGCTTGACAGTGATCAGTGTGTCATTCAGTTTGTGTGACTGGCTAGTAACCCGGTTAACAGCTGGGAGGGGAAAGGCAATTGTATCAAAGATGACTGGCATCCCTGAATTAGTGTGAACATCATCAAAGACAATTTCATAAGTTAGATTACCACGGCAATCCTTGACTATTTGACAGAGGGTATTGTTTCAAATCACTCAGTATAATAACAGTTGTCTAGCATATATGAACATGCTACATGACTGTAAAATGTCTATGAAAATAGATTTCATAATGCATAGTTATTACATGGACATACTACATGACTGTAAAATCTCCCAGAAATAATCCAGAAATTTCTTTTTCATTCAGTCTTGGGCATCTAGAATGCACGTTACATAGTACACTATCACAACAAAGTTATATAATTATATTAGACACATGCACATTGTTTAAGTTATATAATTGGGAAAGAATGTTACCACTTGCAGAGGAGCAACCTATGAAGAACATGAAAATGATGAATAGCTGCTGTTAGAATTTGTCACCTACTTGTTGGGTTCTTGAAATGAATGACTGCCATGTGTCTGTGTGGATTCATCTCCACCTCAGACACTGGCCCTCCCCCTGATCTCCTCTGACTTTCAAAATACATCTTGACCAGGTCCTCCGACACATTGTCAGACAGGTCGGTGACCAAGATGGCATCAGTGACAGGGACTCTCTCAATACTCAAGGTCTTTCCCTCAAGTTCCCTGGTCTTAGCTTTGGCCAGAATCTGGTCAAAGTCTGGCAAACAGAAAGAACTGTATCAAGGTTTGAATAGATATGGTCATTCATTTAATTTAGTGTAGAAAAGCATCACTACCAAATTGATGTTTTCTACGTTAAAGGATGAACATATCCAAATCCAGAAACATGGTTACTGCAGCACATTATGAAGCAAACTTAAACTGTAATTTCCAACTAAAGAAACTGGCCTTGCTCATAGACTTGAGTTGTACAGTAAGAAAATTTGGGTTAAATTTCTTCGGTTGGAAAGTACAGTTCAAACTTGTTTCATAATGACTTCTACCAACAGAGATGAACTTTCAAGATAGTAGCAAATAGTCAGGACTTACTGGAGATGCGATCTAGTGTGACCAGAGCCACACCAGGCTGGGTACTATAGTCTACCCTGTTCACCCTCGTGTGCCCACAGACAGACTCCATGTACAATCCAAGCAGCTGTTCAGTGGTAGAATCCTTAAACCCCTGGAACATAACAATCAGCACCAAGGTCAGAGCCAATAACTCCATAGAATAATGATTTAGTTTGGAAAATTTTTTTTACAGTGTTTGTTTTGTGGTTATAGTAAACATAGTACTGGGTACCAACAGTGAATACCTGTCCATAACTATGCAGTTTGTCCTTGTCAAATGTGCTACATATGTACAAATGTACATATATGACAGAAAAAATTGTATTGCTCATGACATAGAAAACATAGCTCTCTGTTTAGTTTAGCAATGAACAGGATAAAAAACTGTCAATGTTAAGAAAATAATGTTCATAAAGCCTCCTCTTACACTTGCATGCAGAATGAACAATAACACTGTGACAATATGTTAAACTTATACTGCATTGAGTGGGAGGCAGTTATTCCATGCCATATGTAGTGGACAGTACAAATCACAATACACACACAACATTTTTTTTACCTTGACCAGGAGCCTAGTTTTGTCCAGCTGCATGACACTGCCTGGTACCTCCTCCACTGTGACTTGGACTCCTGATATGGTGTGTGACCTTGAAAGGACTTTGTGGTGTACTGAAAGAAAAAGAGACAGGAACAAAAAAAAAAAAAAAACAGGTTACGTTGATCTGTGCTTCAAGTTTTCATCAAACACTTATCATCTATTTCAGTATTGCAATACATTTTTGTACTTCCTAAGTTCTATCAAGGTCTATCATGGAACTTAATATTCTATACAGATCTGACACAAGAAAGAAAAATACTCAGTTTGCAATGCTTTATGACACATCTTAACAGCCCTATAATAACAAAAAAAGACTTGTTCCTACAAATATGACAGTCAAAATGAGCCATTGTGTCATTCTGTTGTGTAAGGAGCCTAAACATTCCAAAAGCATTGAGGTGGCATGTGCCATACATAAAGTCAAGTTTGTACGGTTACGTGATATATGTTCTCAGATTACCTGCCACATCCTTGAAGGACACAAATGCCTTTTTCCCCCTGACCTGGATGTCTTTGGTTTCTCCTCCTCCCTTCCTCTTGTTCTCAAAGTACAGTTCAAGATACTCCCTGAAAAGACAATATTTTTCCTGTGAGACTTTTCATCAGCAGTAGTCCAGCTTGCCCATGGCTGCTGTTGTATATTTGATTGGCTTGCAGTCTTGTTTGTTACATTCAGGTTCTTCATTTTATAACAGTCCTTTATTCCCAACCACTTGTTATCAAGAGCTGACATTTAGATAACTGTCTGTCATCTTCATCAGGGCACTTTTGACTGTCTTACTGTGCCCTGAAGCTAGGTATCATAGCTTCACTACAGAGTGAGTGAAGCTAAGTGCTACTGCTAAAAATACAGCAATTGTGACACACATACATAGATATTGTTACTGTACACAATGATATTGAGATATGGGGTTATATTGTTTGTTAGCCAACAATACTGGGCTAATGGGGTTCCAAACGTAAAGTTTAGCATGTGGATGGCTGTACTACACGCAGTACCGTACTCACTTGCTAGGTGGTGAAGAAAACCCTGATACCAGGATGGCACAGTCATTTTCCACTGCGGCTCCTGCAGTTGGGGCTCCTGCATTACTGTTCAACCAAGATGAGACATAGCTGTGTTTGGAGGAGCCTCTGTCCCTGATGGAAACACTTTCAAAATCGTCCACCAGCGTGGAGCTCTCTGACACCATGCTCCCCGGAGGAGTGCTGCTCCTACCCACGTTTTCTGTACGCCTTGACTTGCTGGGTGATACTGCCTTGGGTTTCACACTGGAGGAAGACGTTCTTTTGGAGATCTTGCTGCTTGCCCGAGTGGCTGCACTTCTCGAGGAGACGGTTGAGGCGGCGGAACTTTTGTGAGATTTCCTGGTGGAGGATGATACCACGGACTCTGACGTCGGCCAAACATAGTGTGGGGGGTTTTGGTCGGGATGTTGGCCAGGAGAGGAGTAGTAAGTGCTGTGTTGTGGAAATGGCATGTTTGTACCAGGGGCAGGGTAAGGTGGGTAACCATAGTATCCCGGGTATGGGGGCTGTCCGGGACCAGCTGCATATGGACCAGGAGCTGGGTATGCCATGTACCCAGGCATTGCTGGATTGTAGGCAGGGTTGTAGCCCATGTGGGGCTCAGCAGGTGGCTGTTGTGGGTTAACAGGTTGTTGTTGTGGGTTAAAATATGGTTGGTATGGGTCAACATACAGTTGGTTTGGGTCAGCATGTTGGTTTGGGTTAACAGGTGGTTGTTGTGGGTTAACAGGTGGTTGGTGTGGGTCAGCATGTTGTGGCTGTGGGTAAACAGGTGGTTGGTTTGGGTCAACAACAGGTTGGTGTGCACCAATAGGTGGTTGTTGTGGGTTAACAGGTGGTTGGGATGGGTTAACAGGTGGTTGGGATGGGTTAACTGCTGGATGCTGTGGGGCAGCTATGCCAGTATCAGGTGTACTGGGATAAGCATATTGTCCCAGTTGGGGCAAATTGGAATAGAGTCCTTGCTCTGGTTGCTGAGTGGCAGTGTAGGGCCCACCTCCCTCAGATGAGGACACAGAGCCCGCTGTAACAAAACAACATTACTTTAATCTTATTGAAGTAATGTTGAAGCTCATTGAAGTAGCCATTTGGCTACCAATCATTTATTGGTTACAGATCTAGGCAGTAAGGAGAAGGTTAATTTGGAAACTCAACTTTTGCCTTATGTCTTGTTGCTATTTAGTTAATGCAAAATCCCATTTGCAAACACTGATTACATGTAAACCATACTATGATGTCACAAATACCAAAATAACTTGAGGCAAAGAAATAATAAAAAAAATGGAGCATGTTTTGATGCTCTGCTGTAATGGAAGTGTTCATTTCCTTTGAGTTTGAAGTGCTTTTGATGGCTACAACCAACTTAACAAATAAATTATATGATATACATTACAAAATCAATGTCCAACTACAGTAGGAACCTTTTCATTTGATAGTTACATAATAATATAATAATGATATAAGCACATGTAGTAATAACACATGTAGATAGATGGAACATGAACACTGACACACATGATCAATCATGTAAACAAAGACAAATGAAAGTGTAGATCCTACCTTGATCAATTCTGACAGCATCCGTGCCTGCAGGATAGGGCTCTACATGGACCTGTGTGTTGTTTAAGGTGTGTACAGGCTGGGCAAGAACATTCTGGGCCACTGTAGGGGGGGAGGGGGGTAAACAAAAACACTTCTTAGAGTGATTCCTGTATGCAATGGTGTTCCTGTTGTGGAATTTTGCTTAGAAACATTATAAGAGCCTGTTACATAATCCAATTAAACCAAGTTATGGCCACAACAATTTAAGTTGATAACAAACAAAAAACAAACAGACAAACAAAACAGACCTTAGTATCCTGTGATAGCTCCAAAATTATATGCTACCAGTGGAGACACAAAGTAAGCATAAAGTCTAGGCTAGGTTATAATTCAAGCAATCAGTTTTGAAAACAAACTTCTAAACAAATCACTAAATTGATAATTGAAAAAAGTAACAACTTGGAAGATGAGGACTTTTTTCAACTGTTGTTTATACCAAAATGTGGGGTTGATTCAGAACCTGAATGATACATGTAATAAGCAGCGGCGTTACATATTTTGGTGCACATACAGGTTTGTTTGTTCGCTTTTGTCAGAAATATGAAATGGGTGAATCCAAGAACCAAGAATTTAATTGATGTGGCCTATCATTGATATATGAATGAACTTAACTGCTCAAAAATCCCACATGGTACAACTACCGTAGTAATCAACAATACTGAAAGGATAATCTATCCTACAATTTACTACAAAATATTATCGATGACAGTATATGACTTACAATGTAGTTATGTATGGATGATATTCCCCTATTACTCATTTTACCTCACAGAGCACACTATGGCAATATTGTCGCGGTATGCTATGCGTGGGATGCTATTATTAGGAGGGGAAATTTTGTTCTGCTTTCATTATCAAAGTCCATCTCTCAGTCAGCTCTACTCTCTACTCTGCACAGCAGCTGCTGTGCTACATTTTCTGATTAAAAACTGGCTCACTGCACCTAAGATATATCTTAAAGTTTGTTTGTTTGTTTGTTTGTTTGTTTGTTTGTTTGTTTGTATTCCTTACCTGACTGTTCCTCAAATGTGACCACAGCCTGGCGAGTTGCAGTGTTGACTCCCACATTCTTCACGTCCCCTCCTGAGGACTGGGAGCGGTTCTGGAAGTACAGGGTGATTTTGTCCTTCGCCGTCTCCTCTGTTGGGAAGTCTGGAAGGCCGCTGACTACTATAGATAGCCCTGGCGTCGCCATATCCGCGGATGGAATCACTTTAAAAATGCACCATATTCGAGAAAACTGACCTCCTTTGTGAAAACATGAATCACTTTGTACCCTTGCCTTGGATCAAAAGGCACCAACAGCCCTCCACTGAGCAAGCGCGTTACATTCAACTAGGTTTCACTTCCCTAACAGTTTATAAAATCCTAGCCGTGATTGGCCAGCTTGAGACCACATGAGAAAAAGTTTCGGGAATCCCCATGACGTTAAGCGACCCCATTGGTCGGTGCTAGCTAGGGGGCGTGGCTTGCTCAGTTTCGGTGCAGGTGTCACCGCTAGCGCGCAAGTTGCAGTTCCGCATTTTCCAGTTCAAGAGTTCAAAGTTCCTTTAGGTCCTTCCATAAGGGTCACCAAAGCTGGCAAACAAAGCGAGTAAAACAACCGACATTTTGGAAGTTGTTAGGGACGGTAAACATTCGACGTAGCGGAAATAGTGACTTCAAATTCGGCGACACTGTGACAATTCACCATGGCTACTTCAGATGGTAGAAGCGGCCGGTCAACTCGTTCAGAGCAGGGAATGTAAGTTGTATTTTTAGTCCCTTCTTGGACTGAATATAAACTACTACGCATTTCAGGTTATCGTTACTCAAGATTTACAAAAAAAAGTTAATTTGCTTTTACGTAAGGTGCAGGATTTCTGTATATAGGACGAGGGTTGTGCTCACTCGTTCCTTTCATGGTTAGTCCCTTTGTGAGTGACCTTGCGGAAGTGTTTCTAAATGTGAGCGTTGGGTCTCTATGCGTAACTGTTACTCTCAATACCAAGAGAAGGCTTCGTACATCTGTGTGTTAATTTATTCTGTAACAGGTATTTTCTCGTCAAAGTGTATCACCGTTAATTCTAACCTGTCACATTTCCAACTTGAAGGCAGACTTTGCATGAACGGAAAAGAAACAATTCCAATCAAGAATATACACGTTACATGTTTGTGCTTTGTTGTCTTTTATATATCATGCTAAGCCCCTTTGTAATGACCCAAAAATCACACACAGTAATTGCACACCCTTAGCTGTGCGTACACCCAAATTGCTTCTAACGTTAAACCGTGAATTCAAAATTATTCACAATGTACAAAATGTATTTTTCTTTTCAAAGCCCTGGACAGTTTGGGCTGGAATTCTCCTCAGTGTTGGTGTCCAACATACCTCAATCCGTGACTCAGTGGGACCTGGAAAGACACTTTAACCAAGAGACACACTGGAAGGATGAACCCCATGTCAGAATGATGTCAACACAGGCAATTGTGACATTCAGAAGCCCTTCATGTAAGTATATATGTTGTTAAAGATTATTAATGTCATTTAATATGTATTTTAGCAATTAAAATTTCAGCAATTAAAATTTGTAACATTCTCCTCTGTAGCTTTTTGTTGAAAGTACAGAAAACGTCCATAGGCTCCATATCAGGCTCTACAACTGTTTTTTTTTTTATTGTGGGGCTTTTTTTATTGATCTCAGCATGTTACAAAGCCCCAAAAGTCCTACATGTAGTTGTGGAACCTGCTAAGGAGGCTAGGAGCCCATGTTAACCCCATTATTTATGTCTTGATTACCTATATTACAGATGCTATGTACATTGCAAGGAAGGGATACACAACTTACAATGGAAAAGACTTAACAGTGGAACCAAACATTGAGGTAGGTGTGGTTATAGCCAAAGACAAATACTGGAGAAAATACTGGAGACTTGTATATGTTTAATTTTCTACATATCACAAAGATGTTTACAATGATTAACATCAAGTGTCTCCAACTTGTTTCAGGTGTTCCCTGCGGTCACGGCTGTCATCCCTGAAAGGCTTTGTGTTTATCTGCCAAATAATGTCATAGAGGAACTTGAAAGAAAAACAGGTGTCCAAGTTAATCGTAACTCTAGGCAAAACAACACACTAGAAATCATGGGAAGCTTGCAAGAAATTGAGCAAGCCCAGACAATGTTAAGACAGAGATTTGCTACCATCATTAATGAAGACTTACTGACTGGCTCTCAGCCTCAAGTTGGCAAGTACAATTACACAGATAACCAAGGTGCTGCAGGTTATAGTGAAGTTAACATGGAAGAACACACAACCACATTAGTAAGAGACAGTACTGACAGAAGCTATCAGACAAATGGGCCAGCTACCGAACTTGCTGAAGACAGGAGCGAAGACGACTCCCGAAATGGAAGATCTCGTACAAGGACAAGGAAGGTAGCAGGAAGGTCAAGTTCGTCTAGTAGAGTAGAGACTTCTTCACGGACAGTAAATAGAGTAAAAGAGGGACCGGCAGACATCATTGGTAGAGGTCTGGACAACAGATCTAGTGGGACTCCAGCAACAACAAGGCCTCATACACAACCAGTGCTCTCCAATAAGTCTTCAAGTTCTTCAAAGTCCCAGTCGTCTGCCACAAGGAAGTTAAAGACACCATCCAATTCCATACTCCCAAGCAAAACAATCGTCCCCGGTAGTACTCGTGCTGCAACAAGCACTCCAACAGGTGGCAGCATTGCAAGCTCTTCAAGAAGTAAATCTGGACTACAAGGTGCTGTAGGAGGTGTTGGTGTTCCAGGCACCACAAAATCAGGCAAAACAAAAGCCCATTCAGTCCACGCCTACAAAGGAGTAAAAGTCAGTATAGTGCACGGAGATCTAACCAAAGAAAAAGTTGACGTGATTGTAAGTTCAGGCGGTGGGGACTTGAAGAACCTTGGAGGTGTAGCAGGAGCCATATCGAGAGCTGGAGGTCCCAGCATCCAGGAAGACTGTGACAGTTACAAACAAAGACACGGCCCTTTGAAGACCACAGAATGCATGGTGACAGGCCCAGGTAGACTTCGATCATGTAACCATGTTATTCATTCTTGTGGGCCTGTCTATCAGAGATCACATCCACACAGGACTGAAAGGGAACTTAAAGATACCACATACACAGCACTGATGTCAGCAGCAGTGGATCTGAAAGCCCAGTCCATAGCTTTACCTGCCATCAGTTCAGGTGAGAATGGTGTTACTGTACCAGTCAAAATTGAAGTTGTTTGAATGTATCTTCAAAATACCTTACACATGTACAGTTTAAACTGCCCAAGAAGACCACTCAGTTGACTAGTCTAGTCCATGTGGACAGGTGGCCACTATAGTCCGGACTCTTAATGCTTGTGTCCATTTATAAGGGAAATAAGGGACCCCCAAATAAGTGGTCAATTGTACAGATTTGACTGTTACATAATTATATTTTTTGCCATAAAGTTCTCCCAGTGTGGAAGCAGAGAAAGTGTCAATGTGACATTTGGCATGTTCTTTTCCTCAGGCATATGTTGCCCTGTAGTTCAAATTTTTGTGTGAATGAGATGTGGATGTTCAAACTCCTGACTTATAATCATTTTTCTTTTATGTTTGTACAGGAACGTTTCGTGTCCCAAAGGACATGTGTGCAAGAGCAATGCTAGCTGGCATCATGGCATTTGCTGAGGCACAGCAAGATATTTACAGTGGCCTAAAGGACATCAGAATCGTTGACAACGACTTTTACACAGTGTTTGGATTCACATCTCAATGTGAGAAACTGTTAGACGACCCCAGCAACACCAGAGATTCTACCACAGGGTCCCGCCGAAGGAGTTCTTCCATGAGTAGAGCAGATGGAAGGGGCAGAACGACAAGCTTTTCAAACGTGCCTGCAGCAAGTGCTTCATCCTACACCAACGGCAGTTACCAGTCACTCCCTGGCCTTCAGGATAAAGGAGACAATCATTTCAGAAACGGGTCATCCTACAATTATGAACGTTATCAGTCACTCCCAAGCTTTCATGACAATGGAGACAATCATTTCAGAAATGAAAGTAGCTGGGATCATCAATTTGAAAACACACCGGGTATGGAGGCCTCCTCCCCAAAGACACAGCAAAGCAACAGGTCCACAACAAGTGATGGTGACCAGGATGACACTTGTCCTATCTGCATGAGCGACTTCACCGATCCCAAAATGCTGTCTTGCAAGCACAAGTTCTGTGCCGACTGCCTGGCGACCGCCCTGAAGCACGCGGCCAAATGTCCCATCTGTGGCCTGGTGGTGGGCAGGCTGAGGGGAGACCAGCCGGAGGGTAGGATGGAGTATACAGTGGAGAGACACAGCAGTCTCCCTGGCTACCCAGGCTGTGGAACTATCATCATCCACTACAGCATCCCATCTGGAATACAAGGAGTGAGTCCGTCATCATGATACTGTTACAGTAGATTTTGAACTGTTTGTAGTTACTGTGTAGTTTTATTTTTAAAGTTTTCACATATGCATTGACTTCTCCTCTGTGAAATTATGTGTTTCTAATCTATTACAGTTGGTAACTGCTGTATTTTTTCAACCACAGGCTTTAAACACTCCCCCTTCCTTCTGTGAAAGTAGATCCCAGCTAAAATAAATGATAGTATTTATTTTTCATTTATTACAGTATCTCTTTTAAAATGTAACTCTTTGAAGCATTGAAAAGAGTGCAACATAAAAATGTTATCTTCTTCTTGATTTAAAAATTCCACTATGATATAGCCCATTTGAAAACAAGTTATTTGACCAGATTTTGCTTTCTTCTGCAGCGAGATCACCCTAACCCCGGCCAGCCTTACCATGGTACGTCCAGGAAAGCGTACCTGCCTGACAACTATGAGGGACAGGAGGTTCTCACACTGCTGAAGGAGGCCTGGAGGAACAAACTGGTCTTCACCATCGGGACATCCGTCACTACTGGAACTGACGATGCCGTGACCTGGAACGACATTCATCACAAAACAAACCGCAGTGGAGGTCCCACCAGGTCAGAAATTATAGTATTTTTATCTCCTAGCAGACATAACGATATTGCTCATTCTATAGGAGACAAACTGCAAAAACAGGCATAAAATGCCAAAAATGTTTCGGACCCTTACATCAGCTTGGTGATTAAGACATTTGAAGAATCAACAGGCCTGAGCAACAATAGTCACTGTCAGAGATTCATTTTGGTACTCCAGTTTTATTAATTCTTCTGCATGAGGCGAAATTGGACAAGTTCACTTTACAGTAAATCGGTGTTTCCTGTGGTTTTATATAATTTAGGATTTTTGTGGTGACCTGTTACTGCAAAATCATAACACTGCAAATATGTGTTTTGTATTTCAAATGTGCTTCCATGAAGTTCAAACTCCGAAAAGTAGGAAATAAAACCACTGTGAAAGAAAGTTTGCATTTCATACAGTATATTAACTTGCTATAATTGCTTTGTGTTCTCTGCAGATATGGTTACCCAGATCCTACCTACCTGGCCAGGGTGAAAGAGGAACTAGCAGCCAAGGGCATCACCACAAGACCCTCAACTGCATAGATAATGTTATTACATGTACTAAACCAAGAATGTCAGTGGTAGCTAGTAAAAAAAAGGGCTATGTGTATGTCTAGTAAAACCGTATGATAAAGCCCTGAACTTGACTATGGCCCAAAGAACATGTGCCATTAAACACATTGGTGATGTCACAATACATTTGTACATTGATACTTGTAGAAAAATTCCTCTGTGTGCTTAGTTTGTCTTGTTTTGATCTTAAGTGCTTCCAGTGAGGGTACATGATTATTAGCTTTGTGTGTTTGTTTGTTTGCTTGTTGTTTTTGAACTTTTAGTCTTTAGTCACAAAAATTTTTATTCTTCCTGGTGTTCAGATTATTACCCCATACTGATCTGAAACAAGATGTTTTGACGGAATTGCTCAGTATTTGTTCGGTAGACAGAGATTTGTTACACCTATACTTAAAACCACCTGTTAAACAGAATGGAAGAAAAGAGAGAGAAAGAATCAGTTGTACATTCCATAATTGTAAATTCTTAAGTGTTGTTTTGTGCACATAGTCTACCCTAGCACATGTACACATGGATGTATCCAATGTACAACATTTGCTTTTTATGTCAACAATTTATTTAGATAGTAAACGAATCTTTCAAAAGTGTGTCATGCCAATAAAGAATTATGTAACAATGTGACAGTCACTCTGACAATGCAATATTCACCCTTTATGCAAAGTAAATATTCTGATCAATTCAACTGTGTGGTTTTGTATACATCATGTGTTGTTTGTGTGAATTTATCCATCTGTGATTGTACAAAGTCTATACAGTGTAAAGTTCAAAGGTTACTACTTGCACAAGTGTTTCTGGTTGGTTGTCAACAGTCCGCATTTTTCCCAACTAGCTAAAATTAAATTTATGGGCAAACGAAATTTACTGGTCCATATCTAGACATGATCCACCCACCGAAACCTGATGACATCATTGATGTTCCGCTTTCACTTCCTCTTTTTCGCGCTGCATGACGTAAGGGGGATTTCCGCTGCTTACATCTGATTGGTCTCATTACATCACGTGGTTTAACTTCTATCCAATGAGGAGGCAGCGACTTTCTCTTTTTAAAACCACCGCCAAACCCGGAAGCTAGTTTCGGTCCAGGAATGAGTGCACCTGAGCATAGCGGTTCTTAGTAGGTGGTTTCAGATCCGCCTACCATAGCGCTTCTGGCGGTAGGTAGGCTCAGTGAGCGTTCTCTTCGATAGTCAGCCATTTTTAGGCGGCCCGAGGAAGGCATACATTGTAGTTAGGTGCACCTGTTTGCCGACCAGGACGTGCTAAATCGGCGGCACGCGGGAACATGGCCTGTGCGAGAGGGGCGAAGGACGGAGCCATGGACCTGGGTAACTCACGGCTCCGGAATGGCGGGTAAGTTGTACAGCCATGTAAAATTAACATCGGACTAGCTTTCAAAGTCGCATAATACTTCCTGTTTTGTGTCAATGGACGCCGCGGTTCACCACAGATAGTTTTCTAAATTAAAAATTCATATCGCAGTTTATGATAAAATGCAAATACGCCTGCTTACAAAAAGAAAGTGATCCTTCAAAATTGCTGTTGTCCTTTATTTACGTCTATTATTATGCTAGACGTGGTATCTACTAGTACTATGTGCTGGTTTTCACTCGGTACCAGTTCATGGTTTTTGACTCTCTAGGTCTAGGTATTGGCCGTTGCATTGATGACTTGAGCGTGTGTGTTGTAGCAATAATGTAGAATGCCTTATAGACCAAGAAGATTTAGATTAAACTTGCTTGTTCCAATGGACCAAGGAGGTTCAACCTCCTTGCGTAGACTCAGCATTTGCACGTAATCGGTAATGGCGCCCATACACTGGAAACCACCCGGTACAAAGGCCATCCATTGTTTGTCGTCCCGAATGAGCCACCTGTTGTAAGTGGCGCATCAGTGAAGGGTAACGTTATTGGGTGTCTTCTTTGAGCACATACCGATACATGTAAAATCTACCCAGTACAAGCAGGGCTCGAAATTCAGTCTGCATTCCTGTACTGGCACTTTGAAAATTACCTGCACCAGACAAATGTTACCTGCACCACTCAGTATTTAGATCATACTCATTCTGTTTTGCTGAATATCTTGAATTCATACTTTGTTACTGCATACTGCAAATTTTTTTGTACAGTGGGCCATTTTTCACATTGTCAACTGTTTTGTATTTCTGCCATGAATGCCTGATGAAGTATGACCAACATCCCAACAAAGGGTTAGGGTTGTCCGAATGTAGGTTGAGTTGTAAGAATATAGGGATGTTAGAACATATATATATATATAGGGGGTATCAGAAAATACCAAGACGAGTACATGTATCTTGTATTTTGCAAAAAGAGACCTACAGGGACCAGAGGATGAAGCCAGCAGGTCCATCCTGGTGTCCCACATCCCTGAGGGTGTGAACAGGGACAAACTGGAGATACACTTCATGAGAGCATCTAATGGTGGAGCAGACATTGAGTCTGTCACCATGGTAACAGACACAGAGGCAAAGATCACCTACCTGGATGGTACAGGTGTGTGGGTAAAAAGTGAAACCAGACCAGTAGTGAAAGTGAAAATTACATTATATTACATGTGCCCCTCAGAAATGCAGAACTACTAGGAATTGAACCATTGACTCTGAAGAGTGTAGTGTGCTTAGTCCTGTGGTTAGTGACCCTGTCTCTGGATTCAGAGCTTGGGAGTTTGAATCCCTGCCTACCAGTATGCACACAATTGGAAAGGGTAATACATTGTACATGGTCCTTATTATTAGGGCAGGGCCTTCATTGTGCTAAATAAATGGTAAAAGATCTAGCCTAAGGGGAATTTCCCCAGTACAATGAGCCTAGTGTATAATTATAATTATACTAGGCTCTTCAGTACAGTCTTCACTGTCACTACTGTAACACTGGAAGATTTAAAATGTGTACAAACACATGGTCTGTTTTGTTGACTTATTATATTATTATGAACTCACTCAACATCAGGTTCAAAGATCAGTTCTTTGCATTGAAATGCATGTATATGAATGTCTTGAACTATTCTATCCATTACTACATGTAATAACACCTGCCAAATTATTGAATGTTTTGATTTAAAGCTGTGGAGAGAGTTCTGGAAAGGCCTCATGTCCTGAATGGTGTTGAAGTAAAAGTTCAGAAGTGGACTCCTCCTGAAGATAATACAAAGGTAATGAAAAATCATACCACTGCTAATACTTACATTTTAATTTATTTGTCAAGGTTTCCTAATTGAGTGACCTGCTTTGAACATGTACAATAATGTAGATTCACAAGTGCCATCCTCTACATTAGGATCATCTGGCCAATAGGACCACTTTTTAGTAGTCCCTTAGATTATACATATTAATTAAGTTTTTTTCTATTGACACAAGCATCTAAATAGAGCGACCACCTGTTCACATACACCAGTCTGAGAGTTTATTGGTCCTATGACTGGGCAGTTTTGACAGTAGATATTGTATTTTGAAGATACCTTGAACTACAAACCTAGATGTTAACAGTCCATGGGGCTTCCTCAGAGTTAGATATAAATCATTATTTTAGCTAGGTGTGAAAAGTCAATCAGGTAAATCTTGTGTGTAAAGCTGATGGGCAGTTATTTCAGATTTAGTCCCATGTTCTGACACCAATATGTGTTCTGGCACCCCTACATTCTGAGAAACGGATAGGGGTACCGTTGTTGTCATTAGGTTGCGTTGTCAGCACATTGTGGTGTCAGAACAAAAGGGTGTCCATACTTTTGGGTGTAACCAGGGTAGATATCGGTGAAAAGTTTAATATTGGTGAAAACATATTAAACTTTTCAATTTTAGCAACTCAGTGCTACTGCAGAAGGAGCCAGCAGGTCCATCCTGGTGTCCCACATCCCTGAGGGTGTGAACATGGACAAACTGGAGATACACTTCATGAGAGCATCCAACGGTGGGAGTGAGATTGAGTCTGTCACCATGGTAACAGACACAGAGGCAAAGATCACCTACCTGGATGGTACAGGTGTGTGGGTATCATCTTACATATGTCAGCCATTTGTTAATGTTATTTGTATGGAATTAAGCCTATTTTTGCATTGATGTATTGTGTCCATAATAAACCAACTTCTATTACATGTATATGGAAATACTAAAAGCAATTACATAGAGTTGCAATTGAGAAAAAAAGCAGAATCAAAGTGAAACCAATGATATTGAGAACAAATCAGAAAGTGAAACCAAACTGGGATACGTGTAACCAGTCTGGTTTTACATGTGTCCCTCAAAATGCAGAACTGGAAATTGAACCCTTGACTCAGGGGTGATGGTCCATGGTGCAGACTGCGCATATTATATTATAGCTTATGGATATCAGTTTAAGAGTTTGAATATCCTGACTGTTGTCACTCACCGGATACTGGAAAGGGTTGCAACTGCCACGATTTGTTGTGCTTGCCGAAGAGAGTCTCAGACTTTCCACCGTGCCAGTACTGTGAACCTGTAAATGCTGTTTCGGTATAGCTCAGGTATAAGTGCCCTTCAACGTAACATACCAGCTTCTGTACCTGTATCGGTATAGCCAGTAATAACTGCCCTGTATCGGTATAGCCGGTAATAACTGGCCTTTGGCATAACACACCAGCTACTGGACATATACATGTATATGTTAAGCAATTCTTTCTAGATCATCTCTGACATGACCAGTTGAAGATAAGCTCTTCATAGAGCTTAAACTCCTTTTTTTATTTGATATGTTATTACAGATAATTTCACCCTCACTATATGAAAATTCAATGTCTTTGAAATGTTTTATTCATTACTAAGTAATCCTCCAAAATGAATGTTTTAATTTGAAGCTGTGGAGAGAGTTCTGGAAAGGCCTCATGTCCTGAATGGTGTTGAAGTAAAAGTTCAGAAGTGGACTCCTCCAGAAGATAATACAAAGGTAATGAAAAATCTTTCCAACTGCTATATGATAAACACAATAAAGTTTATTCAATTTGGTCTTCTTGAGTGGTCTTCTTGGGCAGTACTGGATAACATATTTTGAATTGAAGACACCTGCTGTCATCTTGTACCATAGGGACCTCTTCACAATTGTTATATGAGTGTATGAATGGGTATGAATAGTGTATGAAAGGGTATGTATTAATGAAAATGTTAAATTTTCTTTTCAACCTCTAGAAGGTCAAACAAGCCATCAGGTCCATCCTGGTGTCCAACATTCCCAAGGGAGTGAACAGGGACAAACTGGAGATCCACTTCATGAAATCATCCAACGGTGGGGGCGAGATTGAGTCCATCACCATGGTAACAGACGCGGTGGCAGTAATCACCTACCAGGACAGTGCAGGTGTGTGATTTCTGCATTGCTATTGATAATCAGTGGTAATGTTTAGACCATAGAACCAGTAGTGTAAGCCAAGAATTAAAATCAACATCTTGATTTATCCAAATTACTTGTATGTAAGTTTATTTTTTGCATTAGCTGACATTTAAATTAATTAGTATCCACTTGTTTGTTAAGTTGTAAGTATAGCTGTAGAAGACCTTGTAAATTTAGCAATACTTTTGGGGGGGTCAATAAAGATTTGTAAAGTGTTATAAATGACATGCTCTATTTCAATTAGGAAATTCCACTTTCTCTTTTTTTATGTCTTAAATGGCTCATCCCTGAAACTTGCAATTTTTATTAGCTTACTTACTTTACTACCAGTAGTTTTATCATGCTGCTTTTACTTTACCATGTAAAAAATGTTGCAGAAGGGTTTATGCACTTTCAGAGGAACAGGTTTTGAAATCAAATTGTTAGAATATGCTTCATTAGACAATTGTTATATCTTGCACATGTATCATTTCAAAATAATATTTAGTCGTCTTAAGTGTTTACAATTCAATTTTACCTGATTTTGTTCATAGCTGTGAAGACTGTTCTGGAAAAGCAGCATGTTCTCAGTGGCAAGCAACTAACTGTTGAGGAAGAGGCTGACCCAGAGGTAAGACATGACTTCAGTAAAAAGATATGCCAAAAATCAGTTACTCGACAAGCAAATGGATATGATTTTGGAGATCATATCCAGTTGCTTGAGTAACTGTTTTTTGGCATAAGACATGATTATGTATCAGTTGATCAGACTACCATACACAAAATACAACATGTTGCTGACAGACATTTTCTTTCAAACAGATTGTTCTGCACAGAATCATCTTCTGTTGAATCATGCATTGCAAAGTTTAACATTATTTGTATTAAACAACATTAACTTTGTTTTACAAATCTGGAATTTTAAATTGTTTTCCAGGTTTTTGATGAGGTCCATGCCACAGTTGATCCTAAAGTGGCTCATCTCATACCTCAGGATCTGATAGACAAGGTTAAAAAGGAAACAGGCATAAAGTGGGAAAAGGATGTAGTTAAAGGCACCTATAAACAGGTGGCAGATGCACAACAGCTTCTCCAACAGTATTTGGAACAGCACTGCAAACAAATGCTGGAATCAACAAATGATTCAACCACCACGACTCACAAGGAAAGCAAGACAGCCAACGACAAGGAGCAGACTCCTAATGATCATCCTAAAGGGACCAAGGCTGTGGAAAGGAATTTTAAAATAACTGGCTTGGATGATGAAAGCCCAGCTTATGCAGACATGGATCCACAAAGCACAAGTATGAAACCACCAGATGAAGCAGAAGTCCATCTAAATCCCAACACTGTCAAGGGCAGAGCAGACTACAAGGAAGGAACAGAAAGGGATGGAGAAATGTCGCCTGGACCTACAGCAAGCAATTGGGATGCCTCTGGTTCTCTAGAAAGTGACCACAAAGTCAAAGAAGAAGACAACAAGGGCTCTTCATCCCAAGACGGGAATATTGAAGAAGGTCACACGGAACATGATGAGGCTACAGGGAGAGAGGAGGATGGACAGCACCCACAGCAGACTGGTGAACAGGTAGAGGATGCTGCCAAGAGTTCTTCCTCATCAGATGGTCAACAGATGTCGACATTGGCCCCTAGTACATTAAATGTAGAGGGAAGCTCAAGAGGAAGTGCAGGAAAAGATGAGGACATGGAAGCCACCACAGCAGCAGAGGAACCAGAGGAAATGGATACAGGAGAATCACCCAATTCTGTTCATGCTAACTCACCAATAGGTCCACTTTCCGATGATGATGAGTCAATGCCAAGTGATGACGATGAGCCACAAACTCCAACCTCCAGCAGTAGCAGTCTACCTGAAAAACCCAGAAAAGATGCACCTGCAAGTCCTCCAAATGATGTTGCCAACAATGATGTAAGGAGAGAGAAGGATGAAAGGCACTCACAAGAAGGTCAACAGGTAGAAGATGCTAACAAGGGCTCTCTTGTTTCATTTCATAATGCAGAAGCCTCCTCCACATCAAATAATGAGAAGGATAAGAGGTTGCAAATGGCCTCTGGTACATTAAATGGAGAGGGAAGCCCAAGAGGAAGTGATAACTTGGAAGCCTCCACAGCTGCTGAGATGGACAATAGAAACACAATGGAAACAGAATATGCACCTGATTCTGTTCATGGTGACACACCACCACAGCCACTATCTGAGAATGCTGAACCAATGTTAAGTGACAACGATGGCCCACAATCTTCAACCTCCATCAATACCAGTCCACCTGATATATCAGATGGAGATGGAAGCTCAAGAGAAAATGCAAAAAGAGATGTAGCCACCACAGCTGCAGAGAAAGTGGATACAAAAGTTGCACCTAATTCTGACAATGATGAACAGTTGTCAAGTGGCAACAATGACCCACAAACTCAAAGCTCCAAGAATAGCAGACTACCTAAAGAGCCCAGAAAGGATGTTCCCTCAAATACTCCAACTGATGTTGCCAACATTGATGACCAAGTGCCTGGAGACCAGACCATCACAAGAGGTATCCAGGCTAAATCTGTAGACCCTGTGAAAGAAGATGAAAATGACTCGAGGCCCACTCACAATGATGCTTCTCCCGATGATCCCACAACTACAAACACAGGTTCTCAAAGACACGAGTTGCCAAGCAAAAATGATGCTGAAGCCAGACAGTCACAAGGCTCCAAGAAGCAAAGGAACAAGGCCTTTTACAAGGAGAATCTGGGCAAGAATTTCATGCAAGTTTACCATCTGTCTTCGGGGGCAACTGGTGCAACAGACAACCTTCCTACAGGCAAAGAGCACAAAGCAGGTAGTGCTAGCAGCACTGGGTCAGGTCAAGAGGACAGCTCTCCATTTGAAGTGTTTGTAGACCCAGATATTCTAACTTACATACGCCATAAGTATCATGCAGAGATATCAGATATTGGCAAAAGGTACAAGTCTGTGTTTCATACAAGCACTGATAACACACAAGCCTGCTTTTCCCGGGCATCACCTTCTGTGGGAAAGGATCCTGAACCTGAGAAGGCCATTGATGAATTCATCACACTCTACCAGCAAGTCTTCAGCAGGATGAAATGCGAGAATTTTGATGTTGCTCAGTACAAGTTTGCCCCTACGTATCTTTTAAATGGTGTACGATCAATCAGGGGTAGCCATAATGAAGTGCTCACAAATGTCAATGAAGATAACACAACAGTGACGTTCATGGGTGAACCAGAGAAAATAAGGGAGGCAAGAACAGCCTTCTGTGGTTTAATGGGCATCTCCATCTCAAGAAACCCAAGAAGAAGAGGCAACAGACCAACCACAAGCACAGAGTCTGCAGGAGGTAGCACAGATGCACCAAAGGGGGCTAAAGGTGGACAAAACTCCCCAGAGCCTGTACTTCTCTACACCCACACCTTCGAGCAGGGGGTTGAAGTAAAAGTTGCTCATGGAAACATCACAACTCTGAACGTGGATGCCATCGTCAATGCAGCCGATGGGCAGTTGAAGCATGGAGGAGGGGTGGCAAAGGCCATTGTGGAGGCAGGAGGGTACATCATACAAAAGGAAAGTACAGAAAAGATGAAGACCAGGGGTTTTCTCAAGCCATCAGAAACAGAGATCACAGGAGCCGGCAGCCTACCATGTAAGAACATCATACATGCACATGGGCCAAAATGGCAGGGGGCCAACCAAGCCACGTGGTGTACAGAAATGCTGACAAGAACATGCATCAACATTCTACATGCTGCAGAGGGACTGAAAGCAGAGTCTGTTGCCATACCAGCAATCAGTTCAGGTGGGTCAATCATGGGTGTCAAAAATGGTTGATCTTTATGTATATACATTTATGCAACGTCCACAATTTTAGGAGTTGGGTTTTGATTAAATTCAATGACACTGGGTACAATGTAAAGCATAATTATAGCAAAACTAGAAAAGCTGGCATTTGTTTGCATGCAAATACAGCATATTGCACTCCATCTCTGCATAAAATGGACTGTTCCATACCTACATGTATGGTATGGAGTAAAATATAATAACCTGAATTCTTACGTTGAAATCCATCTGAAACACAGATTTTTCCTTGCAGGTAAATATGCCATGCCAAAGGAGGACTGTGCCCAAGCTCTGCTGTCAGGTGTGCTTCAATACCTCTCCACCAAACGTGCGCCTTCCTGCAGTCTGAGGAAAATCTGGTTCATCGACATGACTGAAGATACCATCCAAGTGATTGCAGAGGTATTTGCCACAGAGATATCTTTGTTCCTCCAATCACCAAGTGGGTATGGAAAGGCAAAGTCTAAACCTACAGTAAAGCAAAGTCAAGAAGCAAGCCAGCCACAAGTTAGCATCCCTTCACACCCAAAGACCTATGCATCTGTTGCTGCAAATGGAGGCAGTAAGGCAAAACTATCTCCAGCAACTGGTCATTCATACAGAAATGATTCAAGCCAAGTGGCTGCTGCCCTTGGGAGGGGGCATGGCTTTGCCCAACATGTGATCCAGGACAGAAGCAGCCTGCAGGGAAAAGGTGGAGCAACAGGTGGTGGAAACAATGGCACAACAACAGGGATGGCTATCAGAGACAAAACGTCTGGACAGCCAAACACTGAAAAGGACAAGAATGATGAAGAGTGCCCCATTTGCCTGACAGTGCCAACAAAGCCGACTTCTCTTCCCTGCAAAAACCAAGGCTGCAAGGCTGTGTTCTGCAAGAAGTGTCTGGACAAGGCAATGGATACAAAATCCTGCTGTCCTGTCTGCAGTGCTGTTGTTGGAAAACTGATGGGCAACCAGCCAGAAGGGAGCATGACAGTTACCTACAACAGGAAAATGAAGCTTGAAGGCTATAAACAAACTGGAGCCATCATCATCGAATATGTCTTTACAGGTGGAATTCAAGGGGTAAGTTAGACATATTTTTTTAAATGATGTCAATAACAGTAAGAACAGTCAATCTTTTGTAGGTAAAGCAACATTTCACTTTTGATAATTAATGATAACTTTTCCATTAAAAAGTGCAATATGTAATTACTTTTTGCTGGTGCCTTTGTACAAAAGATCATAACAGCTACCAAAATAAGAATTCAATGCTAAAGAGCGTTGATTAATCAAAATGTTGATTGAACTATTTTCACCACATTTTCTAGCTAGAGCATCCCAACCCAGGCAAGCCTTACACAGGAACAACTCGCAAAGCGTACCTTCCGTACAATCATGATGGTACAAAAGTGCTGGGTCTGCTGGAAAAGGCCTTTGCCCAGAAACTGACCTTCACCATAGGGACTTCATCCACAACAGGACGCAGCGACACAGTCATTTGGAATGACATTCATCACAAGACCAGCACATATGGAGGAGCAAGCATGTATGTTTACATTACATGTACGATGTACCTTTTTATCAGTTAAGAATCAGTGTGGATTGTATTTTGAATGATCAATAAATCAACATTCAAGTTGAATGTTTCTGAGGTATTCTCTTTAAGTCCATGCAATGCTTAGAATGGGTTAAAATGCATCCGAACCCAAAGATGTTTTGTGTGTTTGTTACTGATCCTGTATCTGAGTCTCATTCAATGCTCAGTAATGGACACAGCATGGTTCAGCCACATTGCTTGATTTCCGATGACCAGACAGTTTTAAAGTAGTCTTATCATCATTTCCCTTTTCCCTACAGGCATGGCTATCCTGATCCTGGCTACCTGAAAAGGGTGACGGAGGAGTTGGCTGCCAAAGGCATAAAGTAGTTAAGGCAGTTAAATAATCAACTTCAACATACCGAAAACACTTGCCAATGTATAACTTTAAAGTTAGATGAACAAAGAATTTTTATGAAACAGTGCTGTAAATAAAAATTAAGACAAACTACTTTGTGCATTAGGAGCAAATGTACATGTTGTACCATCACAACAATTTTCCCCATAAGGTTGAATGTTTATGTTGTAATACTTGTTTTTAGATCAGACTGCCTCATATTTTGTTATTTGCATTCAGGATATACATGATTGTATGCAACAATCATATATTTGCCCATATCATTTTTGCTTCATTTTCTGTTCTTCCTCTCCAAATAAATAAGGGCAGTGACAAGGACCAGATAGCTGTCACCATAGTAACTGGTGCTGTAGTAGACACCCTGTGGTGTTGGATGACACTATGTAGCAAGTGACTGAGGACAGAGTTGGAAGGACTGAACATCATATGTATGAATATGTGTCGAATGTGTTGAATGAATAAACAGGGCAGTAGTTTGCTAGGCTAGACTATGTGAATGTAAACATCAATTTGTATTTTCTTAGCAAATGTTGCCTTCTACTTTCAATTCATCATCGCATTGGCAATTTTCTGCCAGTCTCCTGAACACAGCAGACAGATACAAATCAAAGAACTAATTAAAGGTTTCAGTAAGCAGATGACAGTAACATAAATTTGATATGAAAGCTATTTCTTGTTTGAAATTTTGAAGTGGGAGTTTTAAGGTGCTTATGGCTACAGCATAGAATTAGCAATGTTGTGAAAACATGAATTTGGTGGCATTCCTATTAAACTATGCAATCCAGGACCTCATAACTTTGCCAAATGATGTTGACCTTTTTGAATTATAAGTCTTTGTGTTTCTCATTGGTACGGAACCAACATCCTCTTTGCATGAATTATATCAGTTGAGCATATTTTCCACCCAATGGCAATCTTATCTTAGCAAAGAGAGCTATTGTTATTTGCTCATAAATTATGCAAATATAGTCCAGATTTGAATAAGTCAATAAATAGGTTTAATGATGTTCACATTCACTTATAAAGCTTCCAAATGCCATGGCCCGTGGCAGGGGCATGAAATTTTCAACATTTACTGAAATTATAGCATTTCCTCTTCAACCATGCTAGTTGATTTTTCATTTATACATTTGACCAATCTCATTAATGTTATGCTATAGGTATTGGTGCGCCAGCCACTTTCATTTTATGTTTATGTTATACTTTATGTCATCTTTATGTTAACATTTGTATTATGTTTTATGAGCAGCGGAGTCACATAAGCACAAGTGCTAATCCTATCAAATGCTCAAAAATCCATGTGAATAAAATAAAATAAAAATTTATACATTTGTATAATTGATACCTGCTGATGTTTCTTTCATTCTCAAGTGCATACGCCACAAGTTTTCCCAGTCTTATAATGAAATGCAGCGGATTTATAGAATTTTCTCATCAATTATACAAATTAGATCCTGATTTGCACAGTTGTCATCTAATTATGTCAAGCATCACATAAGCTACATGCATACCAAAAATCACGACGACCACTCAACCAGTTCTTGAGTTACCCCCTTCAAACGTTTTGTCAATAAATGCCTGTGAAGTTCCAGGACAAGTTGCTAGGGGACCCAAACTCAATTCACTTCTTCTCAAAAACAAGAGCTATCTACCATGCAAAGTCCTATTCAAGAGTGTAAAGCAACAAGTGAGATTGTGTATCCCGCCTGACACAGGTGCAGGTGGCGCCGCCGGGCCGACTTAACGCGCTTGGCCCAGGCGAGAGGTGTATCCTGACAATAAAGTTTATCACTCTTTATCCCGTCTTTCGTTAATACCAAAAAGGGGCGGCGTAATACATGTTAAATGGAGAGGATCTTTTTTGGTGGCTTTCATTCCCTTACGGGCGCTAATGAGCTCATGGCCCGGCGGTTGCCCGCCCGACAGAAACCTCTGGCCTAGATACATCGGTCAAGCACAAAACTTTTGGCGACGGCGCTTCCAACTCGCCTGAAATGGCCCACTATTTCACGCCAACAGTGCCTGACCGCAGTACTCAGGATAGAAAAGTGTATAAGTCCGACTGCTTAGCTCGGATGCCGTAACTTTCCGATCTAATCCTGTCAGTAGTAAGCAAGTTTTATCTCAGATCTTTTTTATATCACGTTGGATTGATGAAAGGGAAATTATGGTCAACTCATATATACTTTTCAGTAGTCTCTTGTTTTTTTATAGACCGGACTCTTTTATGTCAGTTATTTACCCGCTTTGTTTGCTGCTGGTGACCCTTCTGGAAGGATCTAAAGTAAAGGAACTTTGAACTCTTGAACTGGAAAAAGCGGAACTGGGACTAGCGGTGACACCTGCACCGAAACTGAGCAGGCCACGCCCCCTAGCTAGAACAGACCAATGGAATCGCTTGATGTCATATGGGGATTCCCGAAACTTTCTCTCATGTGGTCACAAGCTGACCAATCAGGGATAGGCTTGTATAAACTTTTAAGGAAGTGAAACCTTGTCCAATATAACGCGCTTCGTCATTGGGGGGCCCTGGTCCACAGTGATCCCTCCCTTAGTATATTACACAGTGCTACGTTTAGGTTTTCACAAAGAAGGGCTGTTTTCTCGAATATGGTACACGAGTGATATCATTGCATCCGCGGATATGGCGACGCCAGGGCTATCTATAGTAGTCAGTGGCCTTCCAGACTTTCCAACAGAGGAGACGGCGAAGGACAAAATCACCCTGTACTTCCAGAACCGCTCCCAGTCTTCAGGAGGGGACGTGAAGAATGTGGGAGTCAACACTGCAACTCGCCAGGCTGTGGTCACATTTGAGGAACAGTCAGGTAAGGCACTCAGGAATAAAAAACAAATAAACAAATAGCTAAATATATATCTAGCACAGAAAATGTAGCACAGCTGCGCAGAGTAGAGTAGAGCTGATGGATTTTGATAATGAAAGCACAACCAAATTTCCCTCTGGCTCTGACTCATGTCTATTCCACGCATAGCATACAGCGACAATACTACAAAGGCAGTATTGGAATTATAGTATGCTCTGTGTGGAAGAATCTCAGTTGGTTTGAATAAGGCGGCCCAGGCTGATAGGAAAGTAATAATTATGCCGGAAACTTTCGATAGCGGATTTTATAGGCATTGCTCCTTTATCTGAACATTATGTGAGTCATGTAACGTAATGTATGTATGTAATGTATGTATGGATGAATGTATGTAATGTATGTATGTATGTATGTATGTATGTATGATTTGTTTAGAAGTCCAAAAGTCATTGCCTGAATTATAAACAAACCTAGACTGTATCAGTTTTACAGTGTATGTCTCCACTGGTATCATTTGGAGCTATCACAGGATACCAAGATACGTTTTGTTTGTTTGTTTGTTATTTTAATAATCAAATTGCTGTAGCCTTATCTTTGTTACGGTGGATTCTGTAACAGGCCCTCCTAAATGTTTCTAAGCAAAATTCCACAACAGGAACCTCTTTGCATGGCGGAACCACTCTGTGAAATGTTTGTTATCTCCCGCACAGTGGCCCAGAATGTTCTTGCCCAGCCTGTACACACCTTAAACAACACACAGGTCCAGGTAGAGCCATTCAGGGTTGATCCAGGTAAAATCTACACTGACTTTTAATGTCTTTGGTATTGGATATGTGTGTCAGTGTTCATGTTCCGTCTTTATACATTGTGTATTTACTACATGTAATTATTATCCTTATTATATAACTATCAAATGAAAAGGTCCGTACTGTAGTTGGACATTGGATTCCACAAAAGAAGAAATTTCTGCAGGGATCAGTGTATGATTAATATTTAATTATTTATGAAGTTGATTAGGATGAAAAGCCACATAGGGAGAGAACACTTCCATGACAGATACAGGGCATATCAAAACATGCTCCATTTTCTTTTTTGGGGGGTTCATTTCCTCAATGCCTCAGGTATTCTGAGGCAACAAGGGTTTTTTCATTAAATAAATAGCAAGAAGATCTAAAACAAATATTGAGTTTCCAAATTCACCTTCTCCCTGCTACCTAAATCTGTAACCAATAAATGATTGGTAGCCAAATGGCTTCTTCAATATGCAAGATTAAAGTAATGTTGCTTTGTTACAGCAGGCTCTGAGGGAGATGGGCACTCCAATACATCTCAGCCACCACAGCAAGGACTCTATCCCAATTTGCTGCTACAGGGTACAAATGATACTGGCATAGCTGTCCCACAGCATCCACCTGTCAACCCACAACAACCACCTTTTGAACCATACCAACCACCTGTTAACCCACAACAACCACCTGTTAACCCACAACAACCACCTGTCAACCCACAACAACCACCTTTTGAACCATACCAACCACTTGTTAGCCCACACCAATCTCCTGTTAACCCACAACAACCACCTGTTAACCCACAACAACCACTTGTTAACCAATACCAACCACCTATTAGCCCACACCAACCACCTGTTAGCCCACACCAACCACCTCTTAGCCCACACCAATCTCCTGTTAACCCACATAAACCACCTGTTACTCCCCACCAACCACCTGTTACTCCACCTCAACCACCTTTTAATCCACAACAACCACCTGTTAACCAATACCAACCATCTGTTAACCCCCACCAAACACTTGTTAACCAATATCAACCACCTTTTAACCCACACCAACCACCTTTTAATCCACACCAACCACATATCAGCCCACAACAACCACCTGTTAACCCACAAAAACAACCTGTTGACCCCCACATGGGCTACAACCCTACTTATAATCCAGCAATGCCTGGGTACATGGCATACCCAGGTCCTGGTCCATATGCAGCTGGTCCAGGACAGCACCCATACCCGGGATATTATGGTTATCCACCTTACCCTGCCCCTGGTACAAACATGCCATTTCCACAACACAGCACTTACTACTCCTCTCCTGGCCAACATCCGGGCCAAAACCCCCCACACCATGTTTGGCCAACGTCAGAGTCCGTGGTATCATCCTCTACCAGGAAATCTCACAAAAGTTCTGCTGCCTCAACCGTCTCCTCAAGAAGTGCCGCCACTCGGGCAAGCAGCAAGATCTCCAAAAGAACGTCTTCCTCCAGTGTGAAACCCAAGGCAGTATCACCCAGCAAGACGAGACGTACAGAAAACGTGGGTAGGAGCAGCACTCCTCCAGGGAGCATGGTGTCAAAGAGTTCCACGCTGGTGGACGATTTTGAAAGTGTTTCCATCAGGGACGGAAGCTCCTCCAAACACAGCTATGTCTCATCTTGGGTCAGCAGTACTGTAGGAGTCCCCACTGCAGGAGCCGCAGTGGAGAATGACTGTGCCATCCTGGTCTCAGGGTTTTCTTCACCACCTAGCAAGTGAGTACGGTACTGCATGTGTTACAACCAACCATGCTGTTTCAATGTTAACTTCTGCTGAAGTGGCAGCTTTGACAGATGTTTGTATAATATATTTGTCATAAAGTAAACGTAAAGGTAGCCCCATAGCCCTTTTCAGACTGTAGGTACAGTGGATTGTTAATCCAGGGCATGGTATTGGAAGGCAGAGCCCACCACTCCCCTTTCCTACCTTTTACATCCCCAAGCAAAGTCAGGTACCAATTTTACACCTAGATAGATAGAGGAAGTGCCTTTCCCAAGCACACTGTCTGGGCAGGAATGCCAGGAATCAAACTGGTGACCTCTATTTCTCTTAAATGCTATGATAGGAGTCATGATGACGTCTGACCATATAAGGCTGGTTTCTTATTCCAACAAGGAATTTCAAACTTAGAATCAAACTACTGCATTGATAGATGGAAAAACTGTTGGGGCCAAAATATTGGCATTTTGGAGTTAATTAAGAGGCTGAAATGTCTTTTTTTTTGCAAATCAGAAAAAAAAGAAGCAGGCAAATCCGTGAGCCAACAAATTGAATTGGTGTGGCCTAATGTAGAAACTAAAATGAGAACATGAAATCAATGTAACAAATATGAATGCAAGCAAATCAATTACAACTGCAACTTTACAGTCATAGACAACCTGGTCTATTACTAATGAAAAGTCTCACTGGCGGGAAAAAATGAAGAGGAGCAAGGGGCCAGTCCTGGCCTAAGCATTTAGGCAGGCAGGCAGGCAGGTCTCACTGGTAAAAATATAATCTTTTCAGGGAGTATCTTGAACTGTACTTTGAGAACAAGAAGAATGGAGGAGAAATCAAAGACGTCCAGGTCAGAGGGAAAAAGGCATTTCTGTCCTTCAAGGATGTTGCAGGTAATATCTAAGAGCATATATCATGTACAAACTTGACTTTATGTATGGCACAATGTTTTGGCATGCACAGGTGTCTTACACTTGGGGCTCTTTGATGTTTATACATGATTTACATTAATATCATAACTCTCCATGGTAACAAGTTACCAGTCAAGAAATTCAAGAAAGCCCACAAAGATAATATTTTGCTTATTATTAAACTAATAAAATGTGTCATACAACATTGCAAACATGAGCATTTTTCTTTCATACATGCCAGATTTGGGATCTATACAGAATATCTAACGTAATATGAAATCAAGTTTGCATCAGGCCTTGATAGACCTTAGAAAATAGTGAAAATCTGAAAAAAATTGTATGATATGCCTTATTTTGTGAACAAAGAAGCAAAGATGAACAGCTCAAACCATTTTTGTGTGTGTTTGTGTTTTTCAGCACACCACAAAGTCCTTTCAAGGTCGCACACCATATCAGGAGTCCAGGTTACAGCGGAGGAGGTACCAGGCAGTGTCATGCAGCTGGACAAAACTAGGCTCCTGGTCAAGGTAAAAAAATGTTGTGATAATAATTGTTTCCTTTCTGCTGCCACATGATATTTGCAAAATCATGTGCTCAAAGGCAATAACTAGTGTCAAATTGAATGTAAAAGTAAACTAATAGAGTACATAAAACTACTGTCTGATCAACATATTGCAGTAGGCACAATTCTGATGCAATTTTGACCAAACATTCAACAGAAAACATGAAAAATCCAGGTTTTGCGCAGGCACAGTACATTCTGCCAACATGTTGGCTCTGACCTTGGTGCTGATTGTGTGTTCCAGGGGTTTAAGGATTCTACCACTGAACAGCTGCTTGGATTGTACATGGAGTCTGTCTGTGGGCACACGAGGGTGAACAGGGTAGACTATAGTATCCAGCCTGGTGTGGCTATGGTCACACTAGATCGCATCTCCAGTAAGTCCTAACTATTTGCTACCATCTTGAAAGTTCAATTGTGCTGATAGAAGTCATCACGTATTATGAAACAAGTTTAAACTGTAATTTCCAACAGAAAAAATTGAACCTACCAAAATTTCAGACTGTAGAACTCCAGGCTTTGTTAAGGAATGAGCAATCCACTGCTTCTGTAAAATCATGTTATGCAGATGAAACATGTCATTAGGTGAGCAGTAGGTCATAAGTTTTATAGATTCGGTGGCACACCCTGTCTTTGTTGAGGGTTCGGTTGCTCATTCCTTGACAAAGACTGGAGTTGTATAATTCAAAATTTGGGTAAGGCTGTTCATCCTTTGAAATAGAAAACATTCATAGTGATGCTTTTTAGCTGAATTACATATTATGAACATATCAATTCAAATTTTGATACATTTCCTTCTGTTTGCTAGACTTTGACCAGATCCTGGCCAAAACTAAAACCAAGGAACTTGAGGGAAGGACCTTGAGTATTGAGAGGGTCCGTGTCACTGATGCCATCTTGGTCAACGACCTGCCTGACAATGCTTCAGAGGACCTGGTCAAGCTGTACTTTGAAAGCGAGCGGAATTCGGGGGGAGGGCCAGTGTCTGAGGTGGAGATGAATCCATACAGACAGATGGCAGTCGTTCATTTCAAGAACCCAGAAAGTAGGTGACAAATTCTGACGGAGCTTAAAAGTCATCATTTTCATGTACTTTATATGTTGCTCTTCTGTTATAGCATGGCTGTAACTGTTATATTCCTTCTCAATTACATACCTTAAGCAATGTCTAATATAAACTCTTTTTGTGATAGAATACAGTAGGTAATATGCACTCTAGATGTCTATGTCTCACTCCTACTCTGCTGAATGAAGTTTCTGGGTTATTGTTTAAATTTACTAAAAATGTACTAGTAATTTGCCAGTCTGTTCTGACAATTGTAAAATTCCAGTTTATCCATCTTTGAAACACTGTTTCAGACTTGAATCCACAGATTAAAAATTGCAGTACAAGGTTTATGGATTTGATGTAGTTGATGAACTGAAAATTGTACATACAGCATACATCCTAGATATCCCTATTAAACCAAACTGTGCACTCAGTGATTTTGAAACAATTTTAGGGTAGTAAATCTTATGAGACTGTCACTAATGATATATAATTCATGTGCCAGTTATCTACAATGTACATACAATTGCTTTTCTCTTCCCAGCTGTTAACCAAGTTACATGCCGGTCTCAAAAACTCAACAACACGCTGATCACCATCAAGCCATACTACGAGTGCCTTGGTGATTTTCTTGATGCTGAAGAAGAACTCACTGACAGTGCTGATCCAGAAGCAATGGACACATCCTCCCCAGTTCCCACAGTGGAAGCCCCTCCAACAGCCAGGGAGAGCACAACTGTCATGGAAGATGCTGATGACTCTGCAGGTTTGTTTGTTTGTTTATCTATTTGCATAAATAAGAAAACAAGAAGTAAGGAAATATATAAAATACATAACAGTGTAGGAGGAGGGACAAAGCCTGAAAAAAGCTAATAAATGATGATGAAATACAACATTGTATTCAATGTCCTAAAGGAAACAAAAAAAACTTTAATACAATTCAATGGTTTACAAATAATGAAAAAAAATTCATGCAATAAAGATACAGATGGCTAATAATAACAATGACCAAAAAATAATACAAATTACAAAACCTCATTTTGTATCAATTTTTGTATTATTTTTTTCATTTTGCATTATTTTTTGTAATAAATTTTCTATATTCTTATCATGACTTTTTATTCCCTTACATTCAGTTTGATGAATTTGTATTTCATGCTCACAGGTATGCAGAAGATTGCAAAGCCTGAGCTGGAGGCAAGAGAGAAGGCTCCAAGTGTCACTGAGGCCGTGAAGCTTGATAGACACAAACTCAAGCTTCTTCTTCTCAGTGACTTCGCGTCGTCCCACCCTGAAGTGGACATAAAGATTGACATGGAGCAAAGAGAGGTGAAGCTGACAGGAGGAAATCACACCGTGATGGCGGCAAAACTCCATGTGTTTGAGACGACACAAAATCCGGCAGAAGAGCAGGTGAAAGTCTCCCGTGGAGTTGCGGTATTCCTGACAACAGAGAAGGGAAGAATGCACTTTGAGGGATGCTTGCAGGGAAACCAGTTAAAAGTGGCCTTTGTTGTTGAAGAGGAGAGAGTCAACTTTTTTGCGCTAAAAAGTGAGGACGTAGAGAAAGCAAAAAGGGTGATGACACAGTGTGTGTCAGAGTCATGCATCCTGGTCGATCCAGACTCCGCTGAAGTCTTAAAGTCCAAGGAGGCCACAACGCTCTTTAAGAACCTTCAAGGAAAGCACCTAATCTGTATCCACCTCGGTAAGAAGAATGTGTGGATTGTTGGTCCTCCACAAGACATGGCTACTGTGAAAGACAATATTGGAACATACATCTCAACAAACACCATCATCACGGTGAGTGTGGACACCAGTGAAGGCTGTGTGAAGTTTCTACAGGAGTACAAGAAGGACGACATCGCCAAAGTAGAAAGACAGCACATTGAACAAGCTGTAAAGATCACAAGCAGGGCACGTGGTGGATTCTCCATCAGAGGGACAAAAGACGGGACGCAAGAGGCAAAGAGAAAGTTGGAAAAACTTGTGGCAGATGTGAAGAAAGTCAGCAAGAAGATCACAAAACCAGGTTTGTACGTTATTTATCATAATTGTCTAATGGTTGTAGGTAATTATTTGAGGAGTTAATAAAACATGAGATTGTGAAGATTGTGTATCATGCTTACAGTGTAATGCTGTATGGTATTCAATGTTTTTACTCTGTCTGACTTGTTTTTGCAGGAATGCACAAGTTCCTGACAGGTGAAACAGGTCGAGCCCTGCTGGATGTTGCAGGACGAGAAAATCGTTGTCTGATTATCCCTGATGTTCCTTCGCGAGGGAGAGGAGGACCAAAAACAGTAAGATTACCTAACAACAAAATAGATCCAGCACCTCAATAATTTTTCTAAGGGGTCAGATATTTTCTGTTAGCATCCGAAGTACTATGTAATTGTCTATCTGACCTAGATTCTGACTTGAGAGATATCATACTACATTGCTACACTGTTATCTTTTTAGAAATATATTCTGAATATTCACAAGGTGATTTGACTTTAAATTTGGTGCATCGATGTCCGATTCTTCTTGTTTTGCAACATTTTGAACTATATGCTAGGTTTTGTCCTTGGTGCTGAAACTGAATGAATAGTACTGAAATGCCATCCCTTTGGTGTAATTGTCTTAATCTTCTTGCATACAGACTTTTACCATAACCAATGCATATTTTGACTGTTTTAAACTGAAACACACTAAAGTTTGATTACTGAATTTGACTACCAATTCCCTATTGGTTACATGTTCTTGGGAGTGTTAGTTATGATAAGGTTGCTCTTCATAACCTAGTGAGTTTTAGAGATTCTTGGTTGAGGCCGTATTGGTAGAGTTCTGAGTTAGTGTATCCAGTATGATTCTCATTATAGTCAGCACTGACGTGAAGTGTAGCGAAGAATTCTGATGAAGACTTTTGAATAAAAGCTCAAAACCGGTAAATTGTTTTATCGTAGCTGTCATTCTTCTGACACTATCCGATACTATCGACTATCCATATTGGTTAAGTGAATAGGCAGTAGAAACAATTTAAAAGTAATGCTAATGTTTAGATAACTGTATCAATTTTAGAAAAACTTGGTGCTTTATCCTTAGGGTATTCCTTTGGAAACACATAGTCAATACAGTCTCATATGAACAAATCTGTCTTCAGCTGTGCAGCCACACCACCAAACACGGAAAGAAACTTGTGGTGGTGCATGGTGACATCACGAGACACACTGTGGACGTCATTGTGAATGCTGCTAACGACACCCTGAGGCACGGTGGAGGTGTGGCAGGGGCTATCGCTCGTGCAGGTAAATATTTTATACAGTATACAATCATGTTTCGAGATTAAGTTTGTTAAAAAGAAGTCTAGCATACTCAAGAATTGATCATTCTCTGGACTGTAAGGCAGACTGGTGACCAGCTTCCATTCCTGTTGTTTGGAACTACATTTTGTATAGTGCTGATAAATAAAAGACAAAACATTCAGAACGCTGAGAGATCTTTTCTCAAATAATCAATTGGCAGTTTTTCTAAGCAGGTCTAAACTGTTATCCTTAACACATAATAAAAATCAAAGGACTTACCAAAACATTTGACTGTACTCCTCAATTTTGACTGGAAGTATTTGCCACAACTTCTGTGATACAACAAGTGACTCGACAAGCGGTGGATCATACTTTGCAGAAAGTTAATGATGTCCCCATCTCTGTTGAGGGATTGAACTGTCCTATCCTAGAGTGCATTCTGTCATTTCTCTCCTTTAGCTGTCTTGTGAATTCTACTCTTTTATTAGAGAATTTGACCTTGTCTATATGTGCTTTCAGGTGGTCCTCAGATCCAGCAGGACTGTGATAAGTATGTGAAAGACAATCGTCCATTGGCTGATGGGGAAGTGATGACCACTAAGGGATACAACCTGCCCTGCAAGATGGTGGTGCATGCTGTAGGACCACAGTGGAGTCGAGGTAATTCACTAACTCCAGAGGAAGCAGCACAAAATTCGTTGGGGGGAGGGGGGTCAGCATGTTCACTTATGCTGTCTCATGATGTGACTAATGTTAATTTATGTTGATATTATTTTAATTGATGTAACGTTACATGTTTGCAGTGAGACCTGGAAAAGGTGACTTTACCAGTCCTGTTCTCTTACAAATGTACCCCTCCATTTGTTATGCGGAAAATTACAATAAATAAGATATATTGATGACATAATTCACACCTTTAAAAGCACAACCAACCATTAACCTGTTGTGTTCAGGGTCATGCTCCCTTGAAATTCTTGAAATCTTAACTGTCTGAAATGCCATTCCCTGTATTTAGAGGGGCAAACTTAGCTGGTATGCCAAGCTACATTGTAAGTTTAACATCTCTATTAGAGTACATTTTGGCAAAAAACTTCTTCATAACACCACCTATTCAATGATTTCCTCACCATAACTTTGGGGGTTGAAAAAACTATTCTGCACACAAATGATTAGAGAAGCAGACCAGAGCATAAAAAGGTGGATGGCAGGCTACTCATCCATTAGAGGACCGCCAACAAATGATACATTGTGTTTTTTCTTGATTTGATTATAGATATGTCAGATGTAATAATTTTTTTTCTTGACTTAATTACAGATATGTCAGAAGTGGAAAAGCAAGTCAAGGAAGCTCTGTTGAAGCAAGCTGTCTATAAGTCTCTGGAGGCAGCAAAGGACAACCACAGCATTGCAATACCTGGAATCAGCTCAGGTAAGTTAGTAAACAATTTCACCAGGAATGATGGGAGGTTGGATGAAAGGGGGTATCATTTTTTTTCATTTGACCAAAAATTGTACAAGACACACTGATACAAAGTTCTGCTTCAGTACCAAGGACAGGGAAATTACTTTTCTCCTAGTTTACCTACTGTTGTCAACATTTAAAAGATTTAACTAAAACTGAACACCAACACCGAAAGCTTTAAATTGCATTTGAATGTCATGCTCACTCTCATCTCCTGTTGGTTGATTATGTTATTGTTTCATTCCGGTAGGCATCTATGGATACCCCATGAACCTATGTGCGGCAGCCATATTGGATTCTGTGCAAAGCTTCTTCCAAGTAAACAACAACTGTACCCTGACTGAGGTCCATCTGATAGAGATGGACTCCAGGAAAGCTGATGCTTTTCAGGACGAATTTGTCAAAAGGTAAATTCTAGTGTTATGATGGAAATATTTGTTGAATGTAATGGTGTAACTTGAACAGTTTAATTCTAGACACCAAAAAGTTGTGAGACTATCAATGTGCAATTAACATTCAACATTCAAAGCACTTATTATTAGGTTAGAAACATTTTCATGGGAGCATCCTTTGCAGATACGAGGGAATATATCAGATATCATCATGATGAAAGATTAACACTTTTTGAAATGCCTGGCAGTGCTTGCTCAAAGAAGTATTCAGTATTGCTTGATTTATTTTATATTACATAATGCTCTACCTAGGTGTCCAACCTTCTTTCACATAACTTTGATTTCTTGTTCCTGTAGGTTTGGCAAGGACAAGTTGACGATACCTGGGCATGAGAGGAGGGGAGGGGCAGCCTCAACTGGTGCAGCCAACAACATACTGTCAGGACCTGGGGGTGTCAAGATTCTGCTGAAACAGGGAGATATTACCAAAGAACAGGTGCAAAAGTCAACCTTTGAGAAAGAAATGCCTGTGATAGGTTTGTTTAGTTAGTAAGTTTTTTTATTCATAGCGGTTGATACAATCTCACCATTCTTTTACCATCTAGAAAACCTACAAAAAACGTGTTTGTACTAAAATCACAAAACCTTCTAATTGAAAAAAATCCAAATCCCTCATTAATGTCATAAGAAACATGATAATGATAAATCTATAGACTGAATGTTATAATTGTATCAGTGTGTTACCTTGCAATTAGGGCATGAGTTTGCAAGGATGAGTTTTCAAATAATTGTATTAAGATTGTTGCTGTTGCATGATTAACAAGGAAAACAATTTCTGACAACAAACTCGAGCATTTAGAGATTATAGAAAACCAATTCAGTGTTAGAAATACAAATGTTTACCTTGTATCAAGCCTACATTGATGCAGAAAAGGTACCCGGTAGAACATGTACAAGCTATTTCAGTTTTGAACAAAAAAAATCAAATTATTCACCTTTCTGTGAATCACAAAAAATAGCATTGCTCTTATTTTAAGAGGATGTTTTATTTCCAGGTGGATGTTCTTGTGAACACCACTGGTACAAACCTGGCCCTGACTGGAGGAGGAGTTAACAGTGCATTTGGGAGGGCAGGTGGATCACAGCTCCAACAGGTTTGCATGGATCAGTTATGTTAGAACTTTTCCTTCCTGGCTACACCACACATTGGTTGAATGTACAATATTATGGTGTTTGTGCTGTGCCTGTGCAAAACCCATACTGTATTGTGCATACTATTATTAGTGCTTTGGCATAATGTTTTGCATATTTATAATATGCTGTCTATAGTTTTAAAATGTTGTGTTGGAAAAAATTGTCTGCAATTCTGATTACGAGTAGCTTGCAGAGAGGTGGTTAAAAAATTTTGCTGCATTTCTGATACTGAAAGATTGAATACCCAGTTCAACCGGGGGGGGGGGGTAAGGAAATCTTTACATCAATATGTTGCTTGTGTTGTTTGTTGTATTGAATGTAATGCAGTAGGTTTTGTCCTTGGTGCTGAAACATAGTACTTAAACGATACCCCTTTGAAGCAGTTATCTTAGTTATTCTCCCAATCAGACTTCTATCATAACCAATTTTGAGTGCTTTAACCCCAAGCAACCATCTAACAGGCAGCAGGGAGAAGCACTCACAGTAAAGAAGGGGTTAATAAAATGTTTCCATTGTGGTGGAAAGCCATGTCCTACCATATCAGGAGCATATATTTTGCATGCCTGTGTGGGCTTTCCTTGTACATGTAGTAACACTGCACTGTCATTTGTGCAGCAACAGTCAGATAAATTCTCATCGTATATGTCCCTTAGTCTCATTATTCAACTGTTACTGAACTACAGAAACAGTTTTCTCCACCTTTCTGAGTTTTTCACTTTTGCTGTTGTCTTATCGTCTTTCTTCCCCCCTCCTTGCATTAGGCTCAATTATAAAATTAATATAATGCTATTCCTAGCATTGCCATCTTTTTATTTCATACAGCTGTGTAACAACCATGGCCAGGCTAAGCCAGGTGAAGTTGTTGCGACCCAGTCTGCAGGAAGGCTGAACTGTAGTCAAGTCTACCATGCTGTCTTGTATGGAATGACAGACAAAAATGTAAGTTTTTCACTTGGTTGGTACTGGTTTGTTAGTCAGCTGCTTATACTTAAACTTGCATTTAGGATAAGTAAAAAAAGATCATCAAATATATTTTGCCACTATACTACCAAATTGTAGTTACCAGACAACAGTCTAGAACAACCTCTAAGGTTGTTCTAGACGGAGAAAATCTTGGATGGAATGTGTCGCAAAGGACATCAAAAGTATGTAGCCTTACCAGCATTGACTAGCCAACTGATGCCCACAGATGCATCAGGGGCAGCTGTATAATGAAATGCTGGATATCACCACTCGAATACTACAGTAACTACACATACCAGTATACATTATGATACCAGCATATAAAGGATCAAGGATTATAGATCTTAAATCTGATAAGGAGTGTTTAATCCAATGCTTTCAGCCTCAGGAAAAGCTGATCTTCAAGTGCCTGAGTAATGCCAGTCAGAGTGGACACAGGTCCATCGCCTTCCCTGCTATTGGCACAGGCAACATGGGCTTCCGAAGGGATGAAGTGGCCAGGTCCATGTATGATGCAATACTGGGTTTCTACTACAGGAACAGTAGATGCTCTGTCAAGGTAATTCTTTTCTCTGTGTATGGCAGTATTGCTTTTGGTCTGTGGGTCTGTATCTCTGTATGTGTGTGTTTGCCTGTGTGTTTGTTCAGTATGTACATGGGAGGAATTTCTGATCCATAGACTGACAGGAGATGAAAAGATCAGACACAGGAAGTCAGGTGAAAAGGTCCAAGAAGCTGGATTTGAAGGTGTTGGGAGCCAGTGGACAAACTCACAAGTGTAAATTAAATGAATAAAACAAGAAATTCACAAAAAACTGTAAATATTTTATGGAGTCTTGTTTTCCTGTTATCAGATTTTAAGGTTTTCATTGTTGGGTCATTCTGATTTTCACAGTTAAAGCATCATTTCTGGATGTGTATAATAATTTTCTTTAATATCATCCCAAATATTGTGTTGTTTCCAGGACATAAGGATCATTGTGTTTGACCAGCCCACTGTAAAAGCCTTTGAAAAAGAGCTGAAAGACAGACAGGAAGGCAGAAAAACAACACCTGTAGCTGCTGTGCCAACCAGTGGGGGGAAAGGAACAGGTCAGAAACATTGCATATTCTTACATTTTTGCAGCGTATGCCAGAAAAGTGCAGATAAAATTATGGCATTGGTTTCTTAACACTTTTTAGTATGATACATACATGTACTTCATGAACTGAGTGTTGTGGGTAAAATTTATCATGTGCAGGTAATTTTCAATGGTACCTGCAACAGTGCAGGTATGCATAAAAAAGTTTTTGAGCCCTGCAATATTAAAAAGGGCCAGGTTAGATACATAACTACTAGGTGACTATGACAGCTGTATATGTACAATGTCAAGAATTTTTATTTCTTGGTACATATTGTTTTGGATGACTGAGCTGTGTGTTTGTTTTGATTTTATTAACTCCTGTAGCCCTTTTAGTGGGCAAAGATTGATAGGCAGAATAACAGGAGGTCATTGACGAGTTAGTGTCTTATAATTCAGCCAGGAGCCAGCACAGGGGAGCCTAGAATAATGCATATTTCCTGTCCAAAACCTCTGATTTCTTGTTTTGTTTGTTTTTCCAACTCAGAAATTTACTCAGCAGTGAGGAAGCCCCAGGCTGGTGTACAGGAGATGGACATGGCTGCAGTGACTGTCCAGGTCAGGACAGGAGACATCACTGGTGAGAGGGTGGACGCCATTGTCAACCCAACCAGGAACGACCTTGGTAAATATCCTGTGAATCATCTTAAGAGTATTAACCTTTAACAAAGCCTGTAGAGAGCAAACCATGCAGGTTGTACATGATAGTAATGTGTGAGGCCACAACAATGTATCCTATATTGGTTCTTAGACATTCTTAGAAAAAAATAGGTCTTGGGGCTGATAATCATATCCAGAACTTGTATCTGTTGCAGATAGTCTCCAACAATGTCGATTTGCCCCACTGTGTAGTTCTTGATACATGTTGACTATCCAGAACAATGTCTGAGTATGGCTCTGGATAAAGCACTGCCTTTAATACAACAGTGCTCATGGAGGGAGATATGAATCTGACTATACGCACAATATTTTCCCTCAGACTCATATTGCTGTTTTCATGTTCAGCATATTTTGCAGTTTAACATATATTGTTTTTTGTAATCCTGGGAATCAGCAAAAATTAAATTGGTGAGGCCTCAAGTCAAATTTCTTTCCCCTTGTTCATGCAGGTTTGGGTGGAGGGATGGCCCAGGTGGTATCAAATGCAGCAGGACCAGGGCTACAGATGGAGTGTCAGCAGTACATCATGCAGAATGGTAACCTTAGAGACGGGAGTGTGGTGGTCACAGGTGAGAAACAATCAGTAACTTAGAACATTGAAAGAAATAGCCATACCTTCAAGTACCAGAGTTAATTCTGTTACAGGTTCCTCTTAAATCTCCAAGAACAGTTGGACACACACCAAAGTCAAGGTTCCACAGCCTTTATTTTCCACACCCTTGCTCCCAGGGCTCCCTTCTCAGAATTCCCAGACAGACTACCCCTCTCCCCTCTGGAATGCCTTCCTGACCTCGATATTCCATTCCGGGCTTAACCGTTACTTATCAGGGGAGGGTATAGACCTACACATGTACTGGCAATTTTCTCTAGCATATAACACCTCCCCCAAGATGATAAACATGTGTAATATAGTTTCATCATCTGACAATATGCTAACTACTACTACTACTAACAGGGGAGTCAGCTACCTTAAAACACTACTCTGTTACAATACACTTCTACTCCATTACTTCACCTGGTCAGCCATGGCATGCTCTGAAACTCCTGCTTGGTGCGTTTTCCTGCTGCCTTCATTAGTTGGTGCTGCCTCTGCAACCAACGCAGCCGACCCCTCCGGTAAACCGGATCCTCCTCCATGAGCTTCTGTATCCTTTGTTTTACTGTGTTACTCTCGCTCCTCACTTCTGCTTTCGGAGGATACGCGACTTGGCCACCTTGCTGGCGTCTCGCTGGAATCTGATATCGCGGCACCGCTGACTCCATCTTCTCACCACGCCCAAGGCACCTCTTGTCCTCCCCCAACTCACTCTTGATCTCCTGAGTTGTTATCGGACCTGCCCTACTTCCGACGCAGGCCGCCCCGTAGTCGTTGCCTAGCAACACCGGGTAGGGCGTGTTCATCACCCCTACTTCTACCTCTCTCGCGTTACCATCCACTTCCAGCTCAACTCTGGCTGTAGGCACGCTGTCAACAGCCCCATTGGCCAGTCTGACTTTGATGACATCTTCTGTGTATGACTTCCTCGGCACCAACTTCTTGTTGACAAAGGTTCTGGAGCTCCCAGTGTCCCTGTACACCTGTACTTGCTGGCCGTTCACAGCTCCACTGCTGCGGTACTTGCTATCTTCCGCCAAGTTTCCATCCGCGTCCCAGGGCTTGTCTGCTCCCTGCGCGAACATACTCTGTGCCACCACATTCTTCTTGGAGAACCCTTTCCCCAAACTAGGGCAATCAGCTTTCACGTGCCCTGTTTCACGACAGCCAGGCTCGTCTCGTGAGCCATCAGATACTGGTCACTCATCTTCCCTAACTCCTCTAGGGATTTTGGCTTTCTCTCCCGGAGGTGTATCGCCAAATCCGTCGGGCACAGATCTAGGAATTGTTCCTGGATGATCAGGTCACAAACTCCCTCGAACGTTTTTGAAGTTCCTGACAGCTCGATCCACCTGTTGAGGTAGCTGGATAAACGCACGATATACTGATCAGGCCCTTCCCCTTCCTGAGGAATTTCCGACCTGAACTTCTTGCGGAACCCATCTTCGGTAAGCTCGTACCTCTTTAGAATGGCTTCCTTTACCTTGTCATAATCTTGCGCCTCAGCGTCAGACAGCCTGCTGTATACGTCTAGTGCTTTCCCTGTTAGTAGGGCACTCAGTAGAGACGCCCACGTGTCTTCCGCCCAGTGGTTGGCACGGGCAAACCTCTCAAACCTCAAGAGGTACCCATCTATTTCTTCACCTTCCATGAAGCTGGGTAGTCTCGGCGTCTTAGCCTTGACGTCTCCTGCACCTTCTTTCTTGGCCTTATGGTACTCGATTTCCGCCTGCCGTACCTTCAGCTCTTCCATCTCCAGCTCATGTCTTCTTTGAGCCGCTTTCTCCTTAGCCTCATTCTCCCTCTGAGCCTCTCTTTCCTTGGCCCGTTCATCTCTTTCTATAGCCTGCTGGGCCATCACAAACTTCAGGAGGTTTTCCCCCTCCAAGCCCATCTCCTTGCCTTGTTCGATTAGCTTATCCATGGCTGACACAGGTACACCACCCCCTAGCCACAGTCAATGAACGGTCCCTGCAATCAATGCACTATCCCTGATAAAAGTCTCTGTCTCTGATAAAAGTGGGACCAGATGTGATCGGTGAAACCCTACTCTAGAGTGCAATACTGGACTAGCCCTAGCGGTAGCTATCTGTCAGCAACTCCTGACCCCATCCATCAAAAGCACATTCCTAAGCAGAGTAACCTCACAAAACTACACAAGACTTCTAGAAAATACACTTCTAGGAGATACAGACCTCTACTAAGTTCTAGAAACTCGCAACAGGTCAACAGAACAACGAAAATACACCAACTGTTACCAGCTGCTTCAGTCTGCTCTCTCTCTGCCACTGTCCTAAATTATATGATTGATAGTTCCTACAGTTCAGTACATGAATCCTTTAAGACAGTCCCGCCGCTCACTCCTCCTCGAGACGTCAATCTCCGGAAAGCGTCCATACAACACTGCTGGGCTCCACAGCGTCCCGTCTTCTCCTGGAATTCCCTCCTGGACTCTCCTCTTGCTTCCACCGCTTCCACTGACCGCCCCGTGAAGCACCAATCCGCGATCTTTGCCGTTGTATCCACACAAAGTCCGCTGGTCTCCGCTGGTCACAGCCTTCTTCTCTGGCTCCCACGTGCCCTGCTTCTGTAGACGTTTGATCTCCAGTCCAGCCTCAGCCTCCAACCTTGCAAGATCACCACAAGGTCCACTGATTTCTGCTGGTGATACAATCTTCTCCTCAGGCTCCCACGTGCACTGATTCTGTCCGGGTCCTGTGGACGTCTGGTCTCCAACCTCAGCTTCCAACTTTGCACGATTAGCACAAAGTCCACTGATTTCTGCTACAACCTCCTCTGGCGCTTCCTGACCAACTATCCTGCCGACAACGCCAATGTTACAGGTTCCTCTTAAATCTCCAAGAACAGTTGGACACACACCAAAGTCAAGGTTCCACAGCCTTTATTTTCCACACCCTTGCTCCCAGGGCTCCCTTCTCAGAATTCCCAGACAGACTACCCCTCTCCCCTCTGGAATGCCTTCCTGACCTCGATATTCCATTCCGGGCTTAACCGTTACTTATCAGGGGAGGGTATAGACCTACACATGTACTGGCAATTTTCTCTAGCATATAACAAATTCAACCAAGGATTGAGGTGTTCCCAACCTTTTTTCCCTAGAATTAACATAGAGCAGAAGTTGCTGCCACCACGTGCAGAAGGGCAATTATCACCAGATAGCTTTAAACAGTATATGTATGTTTACATTAAGATGTCCAAAGGTTATGTTATGTGTAATATGTCATTTGCTGTAATATAGCCAGCTGCCTGCAAAGCTGGTGTGCTATGCTAAAGCGCAGTTATTATATATATAACTGGCTATACAGATACAGAAGCTGGTGTGTTACACCGAAGGCCAGTTATACTTAGCTATACAGATACACATTGGTGCACATACAATCAAACATTATTCAGCTCCAAGTATACACCTGTATACCTCTATGAGAAGAAAACACATCAGAGTAAACTACAGGTATATTCTTTTGAATCTTGAATCATGCTGAGGAAGCCCTTTGTACGTGAAAGCTGATCTGGGATAGAGCAGTACCTAGTGAACCTTCCTCCTGCTGCCTTTAACCTTATACTCAACTCAAGAATTGGTAGCAAAACAACAACCTCAATGTGTTTAACATTAAAGGATTACTTCACTCTCAATGTATCATACACAGTGTTGTTGTTACCACTTGGCTACTCATCTTACAGGAGGACACAACCTACCATGCAGCAATGTCCTTCACCTGACCTCCCCCAACAGGGAAGACCAGCTCAGGGGCTACGTCAAGAAAGTTCTGGTGGTTGCTGAACAGAAAAATATGCAGTCTGTTACATTCCCTGCTCTAGGAACAGGTGAGGCCTTTGATTACTCAAAACTTTTGCCTCAGCAATAATTAGACTAGCCTGGCTACATCACGCCTCTACATTGTAGTAGCCCGTCCACTGGCCAGGCCCCTACAAGAGGTGTATGGCCACAAGCTTTTGGGATGGATGCCCAAACAGCCCCTGCGGGCAAGAGATGTTACTAGACTATAACCATAACTGTAACTGTAACCGTAACCGTAACCATAACTATAACTTAAGAATCTTGAGGAGGGGTATTCAAGATCATTCCTTAAAGGCTGCTTTCAACATAGACCTACAGTAACAACTAAAATCACTTTTATTGATGTTGAAAGACCATCCCCACTCTGTACTATTGTGTACCATCCCTTTCTTTGGTGCTGAAAGACCATCCCCACTCTGTATTATCCTGTACCTTCCTTTCCTTGGTACAATGGTGCTGAAAGACCCACCCTGTACTACCATGTACCATCCCTTTCCTTGGTGCTGAAATACCATCCCCACCCTGTACTCTTGTGTACCATCCCTTTCCCTGGTGCTGTAAGACCACTCTTTACTCTGTACACTAGAATATGGCTGCCAGTCTTATTGTTTAGAAGAAGTTTCTGTTCATATTGATGTTTTGTCCTATAACCTATAATGATAATTATAGTTTTTAGTTATCATTCATACCTGCATATAGTTGTTGCTGAGGTAGTAGATTGAAACATACTTTGAATGATCTTGAATACCTCACCTAAAAATTCTAACAACTGTTACAGATGTATTCAAGCATGTTAGAATCTTGCATTTTCCTTACTTCAGGAGGATTTAACATTGGCCCAGATAAGTCAGCCTTTTGCATGCTGGGTGGCATTGCTGACTTTGTCCGTGACTGCAGCCCAGCCAACGTGAAGGAAGTGAGAATCACCATCTTCCAACATCAGATGTTACAGGACTTCCACACAGAGATGGACAGGAGGGCTGCCATGAATGGGCATGGAACCAATGTCTTCAAAAGTTGGTTTATAACAGTTACAGTTACTGCAATTCTGTTTGTTTTGTATATTGAATATTTATAGTGATGATAGACTATACCATTATCATGATGTTTTTGTTTGTCCAATATAAAAACATATATTGCTATACTGCAAAATCAACATGAAACAGAGCCTGGGGGAAGGACTGTGCCTTAATTCACAATTTGATTCATATGACCAGTTTGATACTTTCCTCTCAATTCCCTGTTTTTCATCTTGCTACAAAATGTTCAAGAACCAATAATAGGTGTTACATAAGATAACAAAATCCACTTATCATTGACATGCTTAATTTTCTTGTCATATTCCTACAGGAGCTGCACGCTGGTTAGGTATTGGTTCCTCTGATGCCGACAACTCATCCAGCAGACCCTCTCCTGCACCCAGACCTGCAGGGAACGTGTCCTTCCCAGCCTCTACTTCAAAAGAACTGACGCTTCTCCTGTTTGGACCTGACCAGGACAGGATAGACAGGACCAGGAAGGCTGTGGACAGCATCGTGGTGAAGAACTGTCAGGAGCAGAAGATTGAGAACCCTGCTGTCACCATGCTGACAGCACAAGAGGCCAGGATGATCCATACCTATGGTGAAGACAGGGACGTTGTGGTTAAAAAAGGTGTGCCATTGTTGATGTATGAACGAGTACAAGAAAGATCTAGTCAGGCCTTCAAGTACCAGAGTTATCAACCAAGGATTGAAGTGTTTGAAAACTTGCATTTTACAACAACTATCATAGGGTGGAACTTGCTGCTACAGTTGGGAGACAGTACAGACAGTACAGACAGTAAAGTGGAATCATTTCTCAGTAAGACATCTGTAGCCACAGACATGAAGTTCCCATTTACAACCTTTATTCAGCCTGTCACTCAGTCTGGTTTGCCAATTGAAATTCAATGTGGCTTCAGTGGCAAAGGCTTAATGGCACAAATAAACGATGTTCAAGAACTGTTACAGTAGTGAAGCTGTACCTAGCCTACCTAGTACATAATGTGAAACCTGGTGATTCGTCACTCTGCACTTCTTTGTATAGAAGATGTGCAGCAATATTTTATGTTCAGTTAATCTTAATGCATTTACATCACAGGAAGTGGTGTTGACTGCCTCATCATCCAAGGTGTGATCCATGATGTCACTGAGGTTTTGAAGAAGATTTGGACAGTCCTGAATGCTAAGGTAGCAGAACAGAGAGACTTGGAGAAAGCACATTCAGTCCAAAAGGATGCCCAGTGGTAAGTTCTGTTTATCTGATACTTTTATCATTTGTTTAGTTACCAGTAGCCAATAACGTGCACGCAATTGCTATTATACAGTGTATTTAATTGTCATTTTTTCATGTCATCTTTAAACAAGCTGTGCAAAATCAGCCATATGATATGTCTTTCCTCAGGAGCTATGTTGTAGCTCAAGGCAGGGAGCAAAAAATTCACCCTAATGCAAATGCCAAAATTGAAGCTGCATACAAAGCAAAGAAAAGCTCAGTAAAATACGATGATGACAATGAGGATTGTGAGATCGACTTCAAGGCCATGAGAGTCACCATGAAACCGTCCAAAAGGTCCTTCCCTGTACAGAGAAGAGACAAGAGGGCAGAAGTGGGTAAGTTTATATCAAGTCTTGCTTGGTTTTAGACTAGTGCAGTTTGAAATAAACTCAAGGCAACACAAATTTAATCAATTAGTTCTCAGATTTGCTCATCATTTTTTCTGATTTGCAAAAACAAAAATAGGATCTGAATCAACTCTGAAATGCTCAGATTTTGCCCCCAACAATTTAAAGAAAATCTATTGTTGCAGTGGTTTGATCTAAAGTTCAAAATTCATTGTTTGAGTGATAAACCAGCCTAGTACATGTATGTTGACCAGCCCAGACAGGTACACAGCCCCAACTCTGGCATGTACGATTGAGTGCTTCAGTCCACAGTCCATAGATGAATTAGATTTGAACGTACTTTGGATACAGTGTATCCCATCTAGACTTTTATACTTATAGTAATTTTGTAGGACTAAACTTAGCCTCTACTAGGCCTATGAGGCAATTTCTACTATTTCCAGCCATGGCCTCTAAAGCCTGGTAGAGGTTAGACTAGACTAAGTACTTCTTTCTTGGACCCTGTCTAACAGTGACCAGTGCAGTTCCTTCTCATTGGGATCCTCAGCCAACAGACCCAAAGTCCAAGAAACCCAAGCTGTGCCACCTTGTGAAGTTAAAGTCATCCTCTACTGAGTACAATACTGTGAGCAGGAAGTTCGGACTGGGAAACATCATGAGTATTGAGAGGGTCCAGAACCCAACACTGTGGAACCAGTACTGTGCACAGAAGCAAAAAATAAGCCAGAAGAACCCTGGACAGTAAGTCTGATTTAACTTCCATATAGATTGAAGGCTCTGCTTTTGCTGTTGGTTCATGGCAACATCATTAATTTTACATAACATTAACAATCCATGTACGATTTTTTTCACAAAGGGACTGCATAACTTTTATAGTATTCTGAAAAAGAAAAAGTTCAAAGTGGACTCAAAAGTCAGATTGCAGCATGTTAAAGTTTGTAAATCTTAGTTAATAAATGATTGGCCTTTATGTTCTTGTAATGCAAAACATTATAGAATCCTTTTTTATCATCTTTGTACAGAAATGTAGAGCAGGAGCTGTGGCATGGGTCTTCTTCTGATTCCTGTGTCAAGATTTACACCAACGGTTTCAACAGGAGCTATGCAGGTCTTGGTATGTATCTCAGATTCTTTCTTTTGAATTTCAGAGAATTTCTACTATATAAGTACCATATATGCATAGTAATTTCTTCACTGTAGGGTCCAGTCTCAGTACAAATTTATGTATATTACAAATGTTTGTTACCTTTGCCAAGCAGGTTATGTTTTGGTAGGCGTTCGTGTGTGTGTGTGTATCTTTCTGTCTGTTTGTCTGTCTGTCTGTCTGGAAACACAATAACAAGAAGGCTTAAATGGATTGTCTTGGTATTTGGCAGGTGGGTTAACGTTAATGAGGCCTCAAATACATGTATATGACTATACAACTAAATTTCAAGAGCCATCATTGTATGTTAATGTAGAGAAATACTGGTAATTACAGTAGACCTCCTTATTATAATTACCTTGCTGCCCTACAGGTTCTATCGGCAAAGGGACCTACTTTGCTGTGAACTCGTCCTACTCAGCAAACGGCTATGCCAGTCCTGACGCCAGCGGCCACAAGAGGCTGTTCTTGGCCAAGGTGCTGACCGGACTGTCCACACCTGGGAACCCCAGCATGAATATGCCCCCAGCCAGACCAGGGGGAGGCCCACTGGACACTTATGACTCCACCAGTGGTGGTAACATTTTCTGTGTGTTTCATGATGCACAGGCATATCCAGAGTACCTGATCACATTCACTTGAGTTACCAAGATGGAACTTATGACAATGATAATTATTTAATCAGTAGTTAGTAAGGCCTCAATTGTGTTATATTAAGATTATATCCCAGGAAACGTGGCCGAAGAAAATGTATCTTAAATTGCTGATATGTTAAAAGAGTAAGACCTCGACCTGATGAATTGTTTTATTGTATACACATGTAATATCTTCCTAATGATAATGAATAAGATGCAAACATTCTTGTAACCAAGATCTTTTGCTGGATATGTGTATGTCTATATCTGTCTTATGTACATCTTATATTTCATCAAGATGAAAAAGATTTCTGCCGTTTTGTCTGCTGCCTTAGACTCATCCCAGATGAAGATAAATATGTTTCCGTCCCTGTTCTTGATGAACACAGATGGGGAACGTTAACGTTAAATATTTTCCCCAAGAACTAGAGCTATCTACCATGGAAAGTCTTAAAATTAAAAAAGTTGTACAATAAAATGGCCCATTTCTGATTAAATCCCGGTAATTATAGATTACAAAATATTAATCTTTAGTTCTTTTTGTGCCTTTTATTTCTGACAGGGCTTAGGTGAGCGTCATGGTTTGAAAATCAACCTTGCTGATGTGCGTTGCTGATGAGCATTAGTTCAATCAAAGCAAGGACCAATGAAATCAAAGGATTTCGTCTCATAACGAGTCACAAAAATATGCATACATTAAGTCCAGGTGCCGCATTGCGTCATGCTAGCTAATTACGTCATCCTCCAGGGGAATTGTGTAGATGGGTTAAATTTAAAACGTTTAAAGTAAAAATAGCGCAAAAGATTACAGAAGCAGTCGTCACATTTTCTATATTATACACTCTTCGCATCTAAGAGTTTGTGGACGCTTGGAACAGATGTTAAGAACAAAATGTGTTCAGTAACGAAAATTACAACAAACATCAATAAAACGCATATAAAACCGTTTCACCGAAGTCTTTGAAGTGCAATGATTCGTACCTGATGTGTCCAGAGGTTTGCAAAACCTGCAAAATGAAGTTTTAGGTCAAAAACATGCCCGGATTTGTGTTCATTACTGGCAAATCCGGCATCATTGAGTCAAATTTGCTGCCTCACTCTCTGCTCACTCATAATCCAGTCATTTGGGTGCATCAACATGAGGCCAGCATACCAATTCACCACACGTGTCAGTGGGGACCTCTAGCTCTAGCAATCCATGCTATAATTCCAAGTGCTGCAGCCGACTTACCATGCAATAATTCCACCGACTGCTAAAAGTCGCTTTTGATCCATGGCGCTGAGGGTTATAAAGTGTCATTAGCAAATGTATCCTTGATGCTGATTGGTTCGCATTGCAGTGACGCAACGGTCTTGCAACATACATCGTTTTTGATTGGTTAGAAACGATGGTGTGCATTTTATGCCCAAATATGCGCAACCCATTCGAAACCATAAAGCCGTGCTACTTTTCACGTAAACAACTGGAGTTAAAACGGACGGGAATCTTTTAAACAATTATGTACCCCCAGATAAGCCAAATGACTGTAAGAGCTGACTTTGCATGAGAAAAGGAGTCGATTTATGTCATCAGGGTTGGCACAAAAATGCTAGTCAATCGGATATTGTTACGAACAGTGGGAGGGGGTAACAACATTCCTTATGTATGGCTTTCAGCACCAAGGACATGAATAATACTATCTTTACTATTTCCCCTGCGGCAATATTTAGATTACAATTACACAGAATAGTGATCCTTGTATCTATATGTACCGTTAACGCCCTTTTTCGTTTGCGCCGATGATTGTCCAGGAACTCTACGAAAAAAATGTACGTTACAAAAAGTGTAACATTGCTACTTTGTCAGGTTATGTCGGGGTTACTTTGTCAGGTTAACTCGACGGAAGTTGTACCCTTTTATGTGCATTACTAAACGTTAAAATTAGGGGGTGGGGGTCGTTACCTGATTCATATAACCTTAACTGACCATTATTATACCAACTTTTAAGTTTGTATAAAACCTTCTTGATACTTATAATGGCGTATAATGGTTTTGGAAGTTACGTCTTTTGTGAAGACTTAGAAAACAAACTTAACGTGGCCTGCAAATTAACCCTGGGCGTAGTGTCGCCAGAGGACGTTGCCCTTCGAACTTTCAGTACGCAACAGGTGTACGTGGTGATGTCATATCAACAAGTGAAATCTTAAAACAGTAATGGCGACTGCAGCTTTTTCTGACGAAGTTAGCGGCGACTCCCTCGAGTGTTCGATCTGCTGCTACACCTTTAAGAACCCGAAGGTTCTTCCCTGCCTGCACACCTTCTGTGAGCACTGCCTACGGGAATGGGTACAGAAGAACGATGGTGACACTTTTCTATGTCCTATTTGTCGACAACCAGTCCCATTGCCCCAAGATGGCGTCGAGGGTCTAAAGGACAATGTATTCCTTGCTAGGCTGGTGAAAGCTGTGACCGAGCATCACAAGATTCGCCAGGGGAAAGATGTTCTCCTCTGCACCAGCTGCGATGAAGGGAAGCCGGCCACGTCCAGGTGTTCAGAGTGCGCGGAGTTTCTCTGTGAGAGTTGTGAGTCGGCACATCGTCTAGTGAGAGCTACCAAGGGCCACACCCTTTTCACGTTTGAGGAACTGAAAACGGGAAAATATGACAAAGTCTTCAGGGCCAGGACAGCCCCACCGTGCTCCAAGCATTCGGGAGAGATCTTGAAGCTCTACTGTAGGACTTGCGAGACTCCAATATGCAACGAGTGTGCCTTGTTTGAACACAGGGACTCGCAACACGACTTCGCGCGCATAGAAGAGGTGGCTGCAGAAAAGAGGGAGACAATCTTAGCTCTAACACCACAATGCCAGGCTCGAATGCAGTTCTTTTGCGAGACGGAAGGAGTACAGAAACGCTTGAAGGAACAACTTCAGCTGAATGCAGAGGGGGCTCGTCAGAACGTCCAGAAAACCGTACAGACACTAATCGCCCTTGTCAAGGAAGAAGGCGAGCGGCTCCTAACCTGTGTTGACACAGAGGAAAAGTCCAGAAGGAAGCAGATCGATGCAGGGATAGAGGCGGCACAGATCAGTCTGGCAAGCGCCAAGAGTACATGTGAGTTTGCGGAGACTCTGGCCAGGGAGGGAGGCGACTACGAAGTTGTATCTTTCTCACAAGATATGACAAGTAGACTGAATGACTTGACTAAACCACCTGCGGACACAGTGGACTTTGAACTGGCAAATATTACCGTTGATTACTCTGTTATGGAGCACAAGTTGACGACAAACAGCCCCAAATCTGCCCAATACAGCCTGCCGACGCCTATGGAGAGGGAACTGTGTTCTCTGCTGAAATGTGCACTGCAAAATCGGACCAGCTCGAGGACGGGACTTCCTGATCTGAAACCATCTGGGCCCAGGGTGTCGGGAAATGTAAGCAGAAAGGTACATGGTAAGTAAGGGCATATTAATCATGTGACATACATGTAAACTTGACCACCATGGCTCAAAGTGGCCTTAAAAGTTGAAAGCAGGCAAAGGCCACTTACCAGGATGATGCAGTCGTGTGGATGTTAAATTTCTTTCAAAACTTCTTATTTGTAACAGGTGCATGGTTGTATTATATGCATTGATATATTCAGTTTTATGTGAAAATGTGACATCCTCTTGTGACACAACCAGTGTGTCATGACCTAATAAAGAACATAAAATCCCTTAGCAGGTACCTCTGCAACTGCAGTTGTTTATATCTTCAATTGTATGATATACATGTAACGTTTTATTTTTGACACTTCCGTTTTTACCTTCACCAAGAAGGTAAAATGTTTTTTTTTTTGGCATTTTTATATATGAGGATCTTATTTACATAAAGAGACATTTGACATTAGTCGCTGCAGCAGGAGTTGGTAAGACAAACCCCGTATCTCCAGCAATTGGTCAGGCACACAGAAACGATTCAAGCCAGATGGCTGCCCTCATTGCTCCAGGCAAGGGGCCAGGCTGTGCCCAACAGGTGTGGTAGATGCCAAGTAGAGCAACAGGTGCAGGCAGTTCAGACATGAGTGGCAAAACATTTAGCTCAGGGCCACCAACCTCTGGAAATGAGATGTGTTCTATTTGCCTGTCAGTGCCAACAAAGCCAACTTCTCTTCCCTGCAAAGACCAAGGCTGCAAGGCTGCCTTCTGCAAGAAGTGTCTGGACAAGGCAATGGAAACAAAATCGTGCTGTCCAGTCTGCAGTGCTGTTATCGGGAAACTGACAGGCAACCAGCCTGAAGGAAAAATGAAAGTTTCATACAACAACAAAATGACTCTTTGTGGCTATAAACACACTGAAGTCATTGTCATAGACTACGTCTTCAAGGATGGAACACAGGGGGTATGTAACGAACATTTTTCAAGGCTGATAATGTTGGTATTGATACCAGAAACATTTCTGACAGGCCTTAATATACAGAAAATGATTAATAAATTTGTTGAAGGTAAACTACATGTATCTTTACGATGTAATATAAAGGGTGCAATGTTGTGCATTGTAAAACAGGCTAACTAGAGTTCCACGATCTCATACCTTCGCCAAATGATGTTAGCCTTTATGAATAAGAAATATACTAATCACCCAGATTATGCAAATAGGATCCTCAATTGCATGAATTATATCAGTCTGTTGATCATATTCTCCACCAAAAGACAGTCTTATCTTAACAAAGAATGCCATTTTCTCATAAATTATGCAAATGTGGTCCTTATTTGAATAAGTTATGTTTAATTATGTTCACCTTCACTTAACTTTCAAACACCCCAAGTATGAAACTCCAGGCAGTTACCACTATGCAATTATAACATTTTCTTATTAATTATGCAAATTAAGTCTTCATTTGCATAATCGATATTTGCCTGTGTTTCTCTCGTTCTTAATAACATATGTTACAAGCTTGAACTTCCTATCATGGAATGCAGCTGATTTATAGAATTTCCTCATTAATTATGCAAATTACATCAATATTTGCATAATTGTAATATCATTATGTCAAGCATCACTTAACGCTACCTACATACCAAAAATCACGATGATCCATCAATCGGTTCTTGAGTTATCCTCTTTTAAACATTTGTCCTTTAAACCCCCCTGCAGTTCTAGAGCAAGCAACTAGGGGGCTCATACTCATGTCACTTCATCCCCAGCACAAGAGCTATCTACCATCTAAATTTCGTCACCCTAGCATGTCTGGATCATGAGATATCAAAACCGGAAGTTCTGCTGCAGTACCATGACAAGCCGCCAGGGGGCCCAAAATCTAATCATTTTGAGGTCTCATCAAGACCTACCCACCTACCAAATATCAAGTCAGTCCATTTAAGCCTTCTCAAGTTATCGTGTTTACACACACACACACACACACACACACACACACACATACACGAACGCCTCTGAAAACATAACCTTCTTGGCGAAGGTAATAAAAAGCCAACATTGTATATTGAAATTATCAATAAGTATTGTCTATACCATAGCCACAGCATCCCAATCCAGGCAAGCCCTACAAAGGAACATGTCGTACCGCGTATCTGCCTCGTAATACTGATGGGGAAAAAGTGCTGAGTCTGCTGAAACAGGCATTCAACCAGAGGCTGACCTTCACCATTGGGACATCGGCTACAACAGGACAAAGTGACAAAGTTGTTTGGAACGACATTCACCACAAGACCCGCACATATGGAGGACCAAGCATGTATGTTTACATTACATGTACCTTTTTATCAGTTAAGAATCAGTGTGGATTGTATTTTGAATGATGTTACAATAAATTAACATTCAAGTTAAATGTTTCTGAGGTACATGTATTCTCTTAATGCTTGGAATGGGTTAAAATGCATCCCGACCCAAAGATGTTTTGTGTGTTTGTTACTGATTCTGTATCTGAGTCTCATTCGATGGTACAGACGCAGCATGGTTCAGCCACATTGCTTAATTTCATAACCAGACAGTTTTAAAAGTATAATTTCCCTTTTCCCTACAGGCATGGTTATCCTGATCCTGGCTACCTGAAAAGGGTGACAGAGGATTTGGCTGCCAAAGGCATCAAGTAGTTAAGGCAGTTAAATAATCAACTTCAACATACTGAAAACACTTGTCAATGTATTAGATAAATGAAGAATTTTTATGAAACAGTGCTGTAATTAAGAATTAAGATAAACTACTCTGTGGATTAGGAGCAAATGTTGTACCATTACAACAATTTTTGAATGATTGCAATGTTTGTGCAGGAGCAGGGCATGTATGTTGTAATACTTGTTATTAGATCAGACTGCCTTGGAAATATTTTGTTTATGTTTGCATTCATGATATACATGTAAGCAACAATCATATATTTGCCCATATCATTTTTGCTGTTTTCTACTCTTCTTCTCCAAATAAATAAGGCCAATGACCTGGACCAGATACTTAGCTGTCACCATAGTAACTGATGCTGTAGCAGACACCCTGTGGTGTTGGATGGCAATATGTATCAAGTAACAGGACAGAGTTAGAAGGACTGATCATAATATATATGAATGTGTTGAATATGTGTCAAATATGTTGAATGAATAAACAGAGCTGTAGTTTGTTAGGCATGTAAATGTAATATTAATAGTTTTATGTATTTGCTTAGCAAATGTCACCATATATTCTAATTCATCATGATCTTATAATGAGGCATTGGCACTTTTCTGTCAGTGTACTAACACAGCAGATAGATACAAATCAATCAAAGAACTTAAAGGTTTCAGTAAGCAGATGACAGTAACATGAATTTGATTTGAAATGTATGTCATGTTTAAAATGTTAAAAGTTGGAGTTTCAAGGTGCTTATGGCTACAGCATGTAGTTAGCAATTTTGTGACAACATATGGGTTTTGTGGCATTCCTACACAACTAGAGTTCCCCGACCTCATAACTTCGTCAAATGATGTTAACCTTTTCAAATGATGAATTAAAAAAAATGTTTCTCAATGGTATGGAAACAAGTCATCCTCTTTGCCTGAATTACCAGTATCTCAGTTGATCATATTCTCCACCTAATGGCAATCTTATCTTAACGAAGAAAGTTATTGTTACAGTGGCATAAATTATGCAAGTACAGTCCTGTCTTGAATTAGTCAATAAATATGTTTAATGATATTCACATTCACTTTAAAAAGCTTCCGAATGCTTCGGGCATGAAATTCTGAGTATATCCTAAACCTTTATCATGGCACATCAGTATACTAAAGACCTTGTCTGTTTCGTAACAGTCCAACCATTGAATCTAGCCAAATTATGATTACCAGACCTCAAACAAACTGATATACATGTAACAATGACAAGTTGCCATATTTTGGCTACTGTTTCAGCTACAAAGATAACTTACTTCTACAGTTATACAAACACGTGACTGTATAACGGTTCAAAAATAGATAACTGTTTGTTGGTATACCTGTTTGTGTATGTATCTTTTCATTCCTGGTGAGCCCGTCATTCTTCATAGTCAATTTTTTGCCACCTCACAATTTGGGTGCATCCACAGGAGCTATCATATGCCAATTCGCCAAACGTGTCAGTGGGGGGCCTCTGGCAACTTAAGCTATTATTGCAAGTGCTTGAGCCGATTTTCCGTATACCGCCGACTGTTAGAAGTTACCAAATGTGTCCTTGATTCTGATTGGTTCGCATTACAGTGACCTAACGGTCTTTCAACGTACCTCGTTGTTGATTGGTTAGAATGCCCAAATATGCGGAACCCATTCAAAACCATAAAGCCGTGCTACTTTTCACGTCAACAACTGGAGTTAAAACGGACGGGAATCTTTTAAACAACTATGTACCTCCAGATAAGCCACAGGGCTGTAAGAACTGACTTAACAGAAAAAAGGAGTCGATTTATGTCATAAGGGTTGGCATAAAAATGCTAGTCAATCGGATATTGTTACGAAGAGTGGGAGGGGGGTAACAGCATTCCTTATGGATAGCTTTCAGCACCAAGGACATGAATAGGTTCAGTTTCAACCTGCTGGTCTATTCAATATACAATGTATTGAATATCATCACTGTGAGATAAAAATGGCATCATGTTGATCTCATTACCATATGAATGAAACCAAGCAGATATCAGGCATTTGCGATGACAATCTCCAAGCTCTAGCAGTTACGATTTTATACTATCTGTTTGGTTTCCATTCATATGGTAATGAGATCAACATGCTTCCATTTGTATATTAGGCCACACCGATTTAATTTTATGGATGACATCCTCTGAAGACCCCCAAACTAGTGCGCGCGGGCGAAAAAAATAAAAATCCGGCCAAAAATAAAATGCTACAAAACCACAGGAATACAAACCTGGTATTGTGAATTTGGCGCAATACATAGCGACGTATACGACAGGCCGACACATGCTGGATTTTTGCGGAATATAATGAATCG